GAAGTGTTGATCACTATTTATTTAAAAATATGTACATGCAGAAACATAGAATAGCAAAAACTGTATCATGGGGAAAGTTGTAAGTCTCTCTCAAAATTTCTTTGTGAATGTGTTTAATCCTGTGAGCAAACCTTTGCCTAAGCGGATTTTGATAGGGTCTCTGGTAAGCGCCATTTAGTAAAATAGGGAATGTTTGAAAATAATGATGAAAACACTCTGGGAATGACATAGAGCTGAATTGTGAGTAAATATGGCATGGAATGAGGCTTTTGTTCACATTTTGGGTCCAGATATACCTCCCTGGGAAGAGGAATGGTGTCTTCTGGGGAGACGCAGGTGCCAAAAGAGCACCTCTGTCAGCTCTGATTTTGTCGGAGGAGAAGCCGGGGAGTCTGGGCTGAACAAGACGAGTGTCACACTAGGAGGCTCAGGACGGAAGGGGGAAGCTGTGCAGCGGCTCTGAAGCTGCCGGGACCCAAGAGCCGGGCAAGAATCAGGCTAAAAGACCAAGTTTACGTACAGAGTTTGGGGTCAAGGGGAGAACCCCCCCCCCCGCGTGGAAGTCCAGCAAGCATTCGGTCTGAGAGTAGCCCACCTCATTCAATACCAAGGTATGATTAAAAAGGAATCAGTAGAGGATGTGAACAAAGACTTCACAAAAATAAAAGCAGGAAGTTAATATAAAGGTAAATTACAGTTAAATAAGTCTAGAAAATAGCACCTAGTGCAGATGAAGAAGAAAACTTTATACTCGGATGAAAAATTTTTATTTATGAATTATGATCTCAAAATAGCGATATAAGAATTTAGAAAAAAGAAGTGGGGAGAAAAATATTCTCACAAATACAACAGTATGTTGGAAACAGTGCAAAGAAAATAAACATTGCTGAAAACATAGTAAGAAACATGGTCAAGATAGAGGTAAGCTAGGAAGACTTCAAAAAAGAGTCAAATATATGCATAATTGGCGTCACCAGAGAAGAGAGTTAAAATGATAAAAGAGAAAATATTTAAATAGAATTTTAACAAAACTTCCCATGAAGACATAATTTGAAATGCAGACTGTCCCCAGATAAATTAAGTCAGGATAATCCACCATGAGCAATATCCTAGTAAACATACTGATTTTCAAGAAACAAAGAATTCTTTGGTACCAGGACAAGAAAACAATGTTCAATTCATCTATTTAGGAAAAGAAAACGTCCAACTCCCTCGGACAGCACCGGAGGACAGCGGAGCAATGCCTAGGGAAGCTCCAGGAAACTGCCCAGGACTGTGGCCCAGGAAGGTCCCACCCACAGCCAGACTCCAGCGCAGACTGAATGCAGACTTGTTACATGGAGACATGACTCCCGTCCTCAGTAGACTGGCAGAAAATGAACTCCAGCCCAACCAGACGTGAATAGGGAAGGCACGGCTGCGTGCCCTGGATCTAAGTAGGGCTGAGGCATTCAGGCAAAAGGGAATTACTGTCACAGAACTGAATGTCGACACTGTAAACCTCGGAAGTACAGAAGTGACATGACTAACAGCACACTAAAAAGTTAGGAGAAAAGGCAGAAAGTGATGTAAGTGTGTTGATTTCTTCATTACTTAAACTTAGGGGTTAATAAGTCATCAAGTAATATAAACAGAGGTGTAAAGGTTTGGCTAAGTAATTTTAATCAACTAAAGTCAAGTGGGGACTAAATTAAAGGAGGTGAGAAAATAAAAATGAACAAATTTCATCTTCGCTCACAGTAGGGAATCCACAGATTTGGTCTAAAGTTTTGAGGAATAAATTATAGAAAGTTATAGTCACCTTAATCATACTCACCACAGAGATATAAGCCTTTCATAGCAAAGAAATACGCAGATAAAAATGAAGGGGCTTCGGGGAGGCAGGCCCGAGATGCCCTTCAAAACCATGAAGGGGCCTGCGGAGGAGGTCTGCCCAGTTGCTCCCCGGGGTGGGGGTGGGGGGGTTGTTAGCACAGAGCAGAGGGCTTACGTCTTAACTTGATGTTATTGCCCGACTGTGTCTTTCAAACACAGACCAAATGTAACGTGAAAGTTCCCCAGGATCTGTTTATCATAATAAAATAAAATACACTTGAGTATTCCTCCCAAAAAAGCAACACGCAAACACACCACATCATATACACATGAAGAAAATAAGGGGAAAACCATCAAATAATAAAGTATTTGAGAGCAGCAACAAGGAAAAAGCGTAGCATAAAATACAGGATGCAACTAAAACAAAACTCTGTTACACAGCTAAAACGGCTTGAACTGCCCTATGAGAAGAAAGGAATTGGCTTAAATTACAAGTGAAACCCAGGATTATGCTACATACAAGAGACTTGTATAAAAGCAATCTCAGACAGGTTGTAAATGAAAAGAAGGGGAAAAAGGCCCACCAGGAAATCATAAAGAACAGTAACTACGAATAAAGAGATGGGATGCAATTCAGAAAACCTTGAACTGCAGGCTTTAAATGAAGCTTTAAAGCCCTATATGTGATTTTTGTAAAAGCATCACCTAATGAGGAAGTTTATGATCCACTATGAAGATAAGATGATCATAAAAAACTATGTGGTAAGAATTTTAGCCTGTTCCCCCAATATTCCCATCTCAGCATCCACGCCTTGGATAAGTCCCTCCCCTCATAGCTGGAAAACTGCAGATGTGGGCTGACGCTCTGAAACAGGAAGGGACAGGATCATGTTACATAATACAGCAAGAGGGGTTTCACACAGGTAATTAAGGTTATTAGTCAGTTCACTCTGAGTTAATCAAAGAGGACACCTCGTGGTCCTGATGTAATCACAGGAGTCTTTAGGTCTGGTCTAGAGGCAGCAGACAGGCCTGTGACGGGCCACGAAGCAGACCTACAGACAGACAGACTGTAGGAGCAGACAGACGCCCTCACACTGACAACCTCAGGAAACCAAACTGGGCCAACTATTTGCAGAGTTATGGAGGGCCCTGTGCCTCAGATGAGATGGCCGTCCCTACGGACACCTTGCCTGCAGCCGAGTGAGGCCCTGAGCAGAGCCTGGCCTTCTGGCCTATGGAAACTGTCAGATAATAAGGGGGCTCTTTTTAAAGCCAGTTTGTGGCAATTTGACTTCTGACCCAGTTTGCTGGGAAGGATTTCCACTGTATCAATGGGAGGAGGGTGTGACTATTGCAGCAGGCTGGCCAGTGATGGGTCAAAACTTTCACTCTTTTGAGTCAGTGTGGCAGGTCCTGCCCCGGGCGCCCAGGGGTTAGCAAGAACGTGACCACGGGGAAGGAGAAGCTAAAAGGAGCTTCTAGTCAAACCCCCTGTTTTCCCATCTATGCACACAAGTACTTGAAGCATTATTTATGACCAAGAACGACAACCAGATATTGAGCAAAAATGTCAATGATATAAGATATATATGTAAAAAGCACAAGGCAGCTTAAGGAAGAGAACCAAAATAATAAATATGAAAGCTGAAGGCCCACCAGTTTGGGCCCAGAGCCCAGCTGTACGACATTTATTACAAAGTACAGATTTCTAGGACTGTGTCCATTTCATCATTTTGCTGTGGATTTCCAATAAGATCCTCAGTGATTAAGGAATAATTGAAATGAGATGAAAAAGAACTTGTCCATGTAACAGAAGTTAAAGCCAGAATGGTAATCAGACCTCCCCAGATGAGGTACCAAAGAATTTCTGGGAACACTGGTGAGCATGTTACATACTCTGAACAAGAACCCAAACCCTAACTGGGGAAGCAGGTGAAATCCCAGGCCATTCTTATGACTCTTCAGGCTGACACCTCTGGAGTGTCAGTTTATGTTTCTGACAGTCCTTATTTCTTGTCACTGGATACATTGCTCTTGACATTAGATACACACCAGTGGTACCTATGGCTTAGGTGAAGCATGCCAGCAACCCAGAAGGGGCACGCTTGAAGTCATCCACAGAAGGCATGATGCTACAGGACCCTGTACAGAGCAGCAAACTGGCGAAGGACTCCTAGCAAATTTGGCTCCGTGAAGCAAAGGGAAGCTGCTAGTAGATGGGAAGCAGAGATCTGTGTAATCAGAGATCACAAAGCAGCAACTGGCTGCCGCACAAGGAGCTCTGGGATGCAGTGGAACTGCTCGCTTAAAAAGTGTTTCTCAACCCTGGCTGTACATCAGAATCGCCTGGAAGTAACTTTTTTTTAAACATTGCTGTCTGCTCTTGAATACTGACCTGTTAACCCACATCTCTGGGAGTGTGGCCCAGGAATCAAAATCAGAATTTTTCAGTGCCATTTAGAGCACTGCCGGTGTTGAGAACCAATGTTTTGATGTTAAGTGTTACAAACTGGTTCCCAAAGACTGAAGCCCAGTTAGAACGTGGTCTGTGAGGAAAGTTCCCACTGAGGCACCGTCCCAGTGGGTCCTGCTTACATGGGGTCCGATGCCCAGAGAAATGAGACTAGTGAGTTTCCCACTACATTGAATGAAAATGGTGACAAGGACAGAAATGTCTTATTTCGAAATAAACAAACCTCCTTTATAGTTCCATGTTATAGCCGGTGTGGTCTGCCATGTGGAAGGTTTTATGTTTTCTAAGTAATAATAATGCATAACAATAAGTGATAACCTGCTAATGAGCAACATGGCAAAGAATGATTCCTTAAGGTTAAGTCAAGTTGTGCTTTGTGTTGTTAGGAATCAACGATAGGTACAGAGGTAAACACTTTAGAGAAATGAGAATGACCCTCCACGCCAGTCTGAGCACAGCCTGGAGAGGTGTCAGAAAGCACCCAAAGGGCCATGTCCCCGCCCGCCCAGCCAGGGGGCTCATGCCTAGCGGGGAGGTGGGGGGTTCGGCTCAGATCCCATCAGAAGCTTCTCCTCCCGTCCCAGTCAGCTCTGGCAGGTGTCACAAGACACCATGGCCTGGGTAGCTCACACACCTCCCAGAGTTCAGAGGCTCGGCAGTGCAGAGCGCGGCAGACTCGGCGTCTGAGGCTGTTCTTCCCGACGGTCCGATGGCCGCCCTGGGCCTGCATCCTCACAAGGCAAGTGAGCTCCCTGCTGTCCCTTCTTATAAGGACCCTGTAGGGATGCTCGGAAGAATAGAGAGCTGTTGCACCAGGTTTTCTCTGGTTTTTCAGTTTCTTGAATATACTGGAAAATCTGAATGGGGTCTCACTGGCGACCATTTATAAGGAGCAGCGTCCGTGGTGGACACTGACCTGTGTGGCCCTCACCCCGCCGTGTGGTTCTCTGTCATTGCTGACCCCCGTCTCTCCCGGTCCGTACAGGAGCACATGGCTAGCTGCCTATTGGACATATACTTGGACCTGCTGGATCATCAAGCCATCATCCTGGCCGCGAACTCCAGGTACGTACCATACGCTGCTCTGCCCTCTTAGTTCACTCACTGAATACCTTTAAAATGCAATGGAGAAACATCACAATTGTGAAAAGTAAAAAAATCACTCTGGACCCCACTGCCCTAATTCAGTGACTGTGCTTTCTTTCTTCCCGTGTTCATCCCCACTTCTTCTGCACAGGTGGGCCGGTAGCTATTGCTGAGCCATGAGCAGATTCTTGAAATTACACTTGCAAAAATATACATTGACTTTTTTGTTTACTGATATATAAGACTTATTGCTTCACAATAGGAAAAAAAATGAAACATTTCCAAGAAATTTTTAGTGTGTCCAGTCTACCTCTACTCATTCTGATCTTTGAAACAAATATTTAGCTTAAAAGTTAACAAAGGCAAATTCATACAGCAATTTAGGGAGGAATGCTTTTTCTTTCTTCTTGACTTCCTTTCTGTGTCACCTGGTCATGCATCCTGCAATACAGGAGCATAAACACTGAGATTCTTAATGCTAAGATGTCCCTTGTTGTAAAACACATCAATAATTAAATGACTACTCTTTTGAAAACAAATCACATTAGACCAAAAAAATGTGTACTTGCCGACACTTGCTCACACTGACCCCTAAACCTGCATGTGGCTTTCTCCTCTAGTATCGCCAACGTCTGACTCTCAGCCTTCCTCATGTTTAAGACCTGAAGATCCTTTGCCTGTCAGCAGCTATGCACGACATCAAAGCAACATGCTACTGTCCTAATGTGTGTTCATGACCTGGACCATTTTAGCATTTTTAGAACTGGCAATATAACTTCAAAGTACATTGAAATATGGTATTTCCTACTTCATCAAAATCTTAATTTTGCTTTTCCTAATTCACATCATGTGTCCCTAGAAGCTAAATACCTTCCACTAAAAACTCTCCTGTAAGCCTTTGATAAAAAGCTGTTCAGAATCTGATAGTCCATTAGAACCAATGAAAAAGTCAAATCAATCTTCCCAACATTTGAAAATTATCTAATGTATTCCAAGACATTCCACCGCAAACAGTAGATTTCAGATATTTAGACTTTCTTGCCTGGTAGACTCTGAGTACAGCACAAGATTTCCTACCTCACCATCTGCATCACCATCATTTCATGAAGTAAAGAATCATTTCATAAAGTAACGGCTATTATGCAAATCACATATACCTACAGGGATAACGGCTGTGTACTGACTTAGCTTCTGCTGCTGACAAACAGCTTTCTTGTGCCATCCCCTGGAAAATGTATCCCAATATTAGAAAAATTAAACTGTGAGAAACATAGTATCCTGGATTACAGAAAATGTGACAGGAATATATTTTAACTGCCCAATTCCTGGGCACACCTGGGAATGTAACCACTCTCTCTGCAGGTATGTCTACAGAGAAATATATTCTGATTTCTAAATAACTGATTACAGATGATTTTTACAAAGTAATTCATCCCTTTCTATTTAAAACTGCATTGTCATTTTTATGAGAATACTTAAGGCCCAGGGGTTACGGGAAGCCAGAAGCGGGGCCTCATTTGCCGGTAGGTTCTCTTACACCAAGAAAAAGCCACTCTTAGTTTACATCTGTTCTCACCTCAGTTTGAATCACACCTTCCCTTGTCAGCTTTGTGGATCCCTTACTGCAGTTTGAATCCCAACTGGAGATAATAGAGAAATCCTTTAAAATGGTGTTTTCAATTCCGAATCTTGACGAAGTGAAGGACAGGGGAAACAGCCAAAAAGACAGAGAGGACCTGGAGGTAAGATCTGCTTGCGTTCTCGGTGGTGGCAACCTGCAGGTTGTCTCTCTGAAGGCCACAGTCTCTTCTGCTTTCCCCATCACTCTTTTCCGATATAATAAACAGTACATTCCAGCACTGATCTATACCCCTGGACTCCCTGTGAATGCCACCACCCATGGGACTCAAAGGACTGTACGGGATTTATAGCAGCAAATGGGTGAAGAGATTTTGGGTTAAGGACGGGGAGTTGACTGGCATGTGCTGCAAAGAAAGAACTAAGAGCAAGGGGACGGTGACAGTGGACGGGTCCTGCAGCACAACTCACTCCTGTGGGGCCATTTCCTGAACAAAGCTAGCAGGGCACTTGCCCGATGGCATGGAGAATAATCCATGTCTCCACAGCTACATGTCTCCTTTCTCACCTTCAGTTTTATGGGGACACCTCAGGACCCCAGGAGGAGAACTATAGCACTGGGTAAAATTTCACCTGAGCTGGCTGGCTGATGTGTGACTTTTCTGTTTTTCAGACCTTATACAGCAATATTTTAAACATATATGAGGCCACTCTTCTGATCTTAGTGTCTGAAGACCTTTACAAACTGCAAATCTTAAAGGTAAAGTAAAGGGAAAAATAATCACTTTGATTCCTTGTCATAAATCTAAAGAACTCAGTGTATTTCCCATGTAATTTCCCATGTGACATACCTGCATTGCCTTCAGCTGAAATGTTTCATTTTTCTCTCAAGATGGGCAGCTGTCCCCCAAATCAGGTCACTTCCCTCTGTCAGAGTTGCAGGGACATACTTTTAAGAATTCAGTCGTGAGAGGGCGGCATCCACAGGCTGGTGAAGCCAAGTGCTGTGTGACAGTGTGAGCACGCGGGAGGAGCGGTGGCCTGGACCCCCTCCGGGCCTTGGGGACGGCCCGCCTTGACTGTGGCTCTGTGCTCGCTTCTTGCAGCTCTGGGCCAGGGGCTCCCGGGAACATCCCAGCTTCGTGGATGCCACAATACCAGAGAGCGACTAAAAACTGTCCAAAAGCCCACATTCACGTCCAAGACCACGCGTGCTTTCAGTGTCTCGCCCAGAGACGGAGGACCGCCCTGGCCCTCGGTGCTCCATCCCCAGCATGATGGCGTCAGGGACAGAGGTCAGGAAGTACGAGGAAACCAGACTGACTGCCTCGGCCGGGAGCGGCCAGGGGTGTGCAGTCACGGAATATGTTCACGTAAAGGAGCAGGATGGTGCCTATGCAGATAAGAAGACACATGAGGGAAAATAAAATACACGGAGCTGATTCGTGGATAATGGGAGCCAAACGTTTTCGTGCATTGAAATTTTAACCTCACAACCCCTTGAGGTGGTTATCACCCCATTATGACAGCCCTGTCCCCACGTGTGCTCCCTTCAACTGCAGGTGGTGTTTGCTGAGCATTCACACCACATCAGGCACTAAGCAGTTACTGCATGTAGGGTGTCTTTAAATCTTTAAAATAGCCCTATGAGAAATTACTATTGCTGTCACCACTTGGCAGACCGGGAGATGGAAGCAGAGGGAGACAATAATGTCTGCAGGTGCAGGAGCTCCTCTAGGTAAAGCAAAGGGGACAGGGACTTGGCCAGCCTCGCACGAGCACCGTGGGCTTGGACAGGCCGCCTTGAGAGCCCTGGGACCCGCAGTCCGCACGTGACGCATATACAGTTTTCTTCCCATCCCAAGGTTGTAAACATGTCCCTGCATCCGAGGATTTAGAACAAATAGATGCTATAGCAAGACAGTTTTGGATCAAAATCAGCAAGAGCTTTGTGACCAGGCTGCCCCCAGGGATGTACACTGCAGCCATGAGCCAGAAAACACCTGAGTGGGGACGGTGCAGAGAAAATTCAGAGATAAGATGGCATTTCAGGGTAACACTTCAATTCTCTCTTAAAACTGAAAATAAGCTCCCATAATTTTTAAAAATAAGAGAAAATACATATTTTGAAAGAAAAAGAGGAGAGGCAGCTGAAAATCCCGTCATAGTTGGTGTTAAATTTTGTGGCTCCTGACACTGTGACCGTTTGAAGGGATGCTAGTAAATGCCAACTGGATGGAACTGACTCAACTAAAACCCAGGTGTGGTTTCTCTAGTCGATAAAGCACACCAAGCTTGTTGCTGTACTTCTGAGATGAATGCAGGTCGGAGGTAAACCCATCAGGAACCGCGGGCACCTTAGATGCGGTGAAGCCGCAGGCGGGGAGGAGGGGACCGGTGGAGATGGAGACCCGCGCTTCTGTGTTTCTGCAGGAAATGGCCACGTGGATGAGGGAAGACAGCCGGTGGCTGCAGGAGCGAGCCCTGGTGATCAGCAGCAGGGTGCTAAGCTCTGCCTCCAGCCAAGTCAGGGCATCTGTAAGTCGATCACGCCTCCCGCTTCCCAAGGCTCATTTCATGAGCTGCTCTCCAAGCGCAGGGTCTTGCGAGCGCCAGATGCCGACTGGCGTCCTCACGCAGGCAGGCTGGGATGCTGGGACCGGAGTCAGGGTGACGATCGCATGTCACCCAGAGCAGTGTCCCGAAGGGGCCCGCGGCCGGTATGCATGTGAGTGCCAAGGCGGGTCCCGCGGGCCTCCGGATTCTCCTCTGTGGACCTCAGGCAGTGTTACCTGTCACTTCGTAAATTCTTCCATCCTTACGTTCTTTATTTCTCCATTTCCTAAAATAATTTTTAAAGCGACATTTATTTATTCTAGATGTATGCAGGTAATTCCTGAGAGCTTATGCCGTACAACATAGTAGAAATAAAGCAGAGCCTCCCTTTACTGCCCTCGCCCCCTGCCCTGCCCTGGCCATGGGGGGCCATGTGCTTCCTGCCGGCAGCTCTCACCCCACACACACCCTGGGACGCACAGCTGGCTGCTCGGTGTGCCCTTATTCAGTGAAGATCCAGGTGCACACATGGCTGTGCGATGTGACCTTTTCATGGAACAGTCCGTCCTACAGACGTTTTCATGACAGTATGTGCAGATTTCATTCTCTCAGTCAAAGCATTTAGCCCATACTTTTGATGTATTACAATCTACCCAACTCCTCTTCAGTTGATGGACACTGAGGTATATTTTAGTTCTTTATGCTTCAAGCAATATGAAATCCGTCCTCTTTCTGCAAGTACGAGCAGACTGGAGAGCACGGGCAGGTGAAGTCAGGGTGATGTGGCCCCCCGCCCCCCCGCCGCTCCCGGAGCGCTGCGTCGGGCTTCACTGCTGCCCTCGATCGAGACAGAGACCAGACAGACGCCTCCCCTTCGCCGGCATCCACTGAGGATCCTGTGTTTTGAATGGCACCCCAGGCTGCCCCGTATGGAAGGCTTGCCTGGGCACCTGAGCCGTCGCGGGGGGGGCCACAAGCAGCACGCATTCGGGGCACTGGGCCCCCGTGTCCACGTTCTAGCACCTGCATGGGCTCCGGGCACACAGAAGCAAAAGACCTCACAGGCCTGGTACCAGGCCTGAATTCTGGAGATTCTGTCTAAAACACGACCTGGATGACTCACGTCGGGGATCAGTCCCAGGTGCCCTGGGCGGTGCCCTGACTCCTCGCGTGGGTCCCAGAGACGCGCGCTTGTCTGAGAGCCACGATTCTCCGGCCTGGGAGGCCTCGGCCCGCTGTTCGGAGAGCGCAGGCGCCGCGCAGTCCAAGTCTGGAAGGTTCCCCGCAGAACATGTGCGGGGCGACGCGAGATTGCGTGTCCCACTCTGCCTGGTTTCCACACGGCCCCTGGCGCTCTGGGCGCCCAGCGCGAGTCTGGGGGTGGCGGGGTGCGGGCTGCCTCCCTGCATCTGTGTGCAGACACACACCCATTCCGGTGAGCCCCCTCTGCGGCCGTGAGGCACTTGGGGGTTCTGTCTTCTGCCACCCCCTCCCTCTGTCGCACCGCAGGGCTCACTGTCCCTTCACACGTCCTGCCCCCACCTGTGCCGCCGAAGCCTCTCCAACTGCTGTCGCTCCCACCTGCCGCTGGGGCTGCTCGGAGGAGCCGGGCGTGGAGCGGGGACTTCTGCAATGCCCCCCAAATGCCAGCAGGTGGAGACACAGCAGCACATTCCCGGGTCGGCCCGGCCAGCATCAACCCCGCAGGGAAGCAGAAAGCCCCACCCGGCTAACCTTCGCTTTGAGCCAACTGCCTGGGCTTACATTTCAGGCAGGGCAGTTAGTGCGGGAGGGAAGACAGAGACACAAAGGAAACAATCAGCCCCTAACAGGTGAAAAGCTGAGGCTGCCTCCACGCCCAGCTCACTGTGGATGGTCCATGGACGTGCGTTCTGCCCTGTAACTAAGTGTGACTATCTATCCTGTCCTCAAGTCCGTCTGCTCACCGAACAAAGACTTTTTCTCCATGAATCACCTCAGCCTACGTCCTCCAGGGTCCCAGAGGCCCTCGTCCTGCTGAACTATCCTATTATTTGTGCTTTATCAGAAATACTCTTTGAGGTGGTGATTCCCCTTCCATGACCTGGTGCCCTACACTCGAAGTGTTTGTGTCCCTTCAGTTAAATATTCAGTTGTCAAACAGGTGAAGAAACGTAAGCTAAACATGATATCTCACGGCTTTAACAGAAAGATTCTTCCTCGGTTCGTTCCTGTGGCACGCCAGCATGTCAAGCGTGGTGGAAATCTGCACTCAAATTGACAGACTGTCCTGCTTCCCCTCATTTCCCACCAGAGTCCTCGCAAAGCCGTAAGGGCAGGTGTTAAATCAGCAGGGGTTTCCCATGGGCTAGTGACCGCCCACACCCCTGGGTGGTGGAACAGACAGAAGACGCAGCCGATAAAGCCTGGCAGGGAGGCTGAATGGCAGGACCCACGAACACAGGGCTGGGCAGCTTCTCAGGGGGTATTTTACTCCGGGAACCCCGGACATGCCGGTGTCGGGGGGTCCGGGTGATGGAGGGTCGGGGCAAAGACAGCTGGAAGCCTGCATTAGCTGAAAGGACTCGCGGACACTCACACAGCGGAATCTTACTCCACAGGCACCCGAGTTCATGGACAGGCAGAATGGGAGGGCTTTTTCCCCCCAAATGATGATAAATTCCACTACGTGGAGACATAGTCCCCACGGCCTCCCCGCCACTCCAAGGCATGGCCCCAGGTGGCCCTTGCTCAGCACAGACCCCACCAAGAGACCTCACACACTCGGATACGACTAGACGACCAAGATGGGCCAGGCCTTTGAGGAAACCCCCCCGATACAAGAGAGAGCCCACGGTAAATCGAGAGTAAAACGGGACTGTCAAGAATAGAGGGATAACGCAGGGTACAGGTAAGAACTAAGTCTCAAAGAAAGCAGAGAAGACATATCTATATGCAAGAGAAATCTAATGAAAGCGAGCCTGGCTATGCATAGAACTCTTTTACTTGGTCACAATAATGAGGCCACATTTTTTATTTCCAACTTTTAGGGTCAGTCTGTGACCAATTGCAAAAACCTCAGATAGGATATGGAATACAGTGTAAATGCTGTGAACGCAGCAAGGCACAGATCACATGCAGGGACTAGCTGAGTGGTTCTTCGGCAATTACATGTCAAATGCCACGTGACCCAGGAATCCTAGGTACACGCCCAGAGGATTTAACACAGACATTCAAAAACATATCCACAAACATTCATAGCATCACAGTTCACAATAGCCAAGGAGTAGAAACAACCTCAATGTCCATCAACAGACTAATGGATAAAAAAAAATCTGTCTATTCATGCCACAGATTCCTCAGCCATAAAAAGGAATGAAGTCTGATGTAGTGACGACATTGATGAACCCTGAAAAACATTTGCTAATTGAATGGAGCTAGATGCAAATGGCTTCATGTTGTGTGATCCCATTTACATGAAATAGCCAAACAGGCAGATCTATAGACAGAAAGCAGATCGGACCTGTGGTTGGCAGGAGCTGGAGGTGGAGGAATAAGGTGGATGGATGCATGGTTCTCACCTGAGGGGATGAAAAAGTTCTGGGATAAGGTAGTGACGGCTGCTCAACACTGTGAATACACTTAATGCCACTGAGTCACAGACTGTAAAATGGGAAATTGTAGGTGAAGTGTATTTTTTGCCACAATAAAACAAAATGCAAAATTAAGTGCAGGCAACAGAAAGAGGGAAGTAGAAATCACAGAAGGAGGTGAAGGGAAATAAGAGAGCTCAGAAATGCTTTTTAAAGTGAAAGATCAACAAGATATCTGTAATATCATGGAGCAAGAAATAAAAGTATGCCGTATCATTAAACACAAAAGTACGAACTAAAAACGGTAATGTGCCATGGTAGGTGACATGCCATTTGAGCGGGCTGTGGCTAAGTGGGAGGGTGTAACTGAGCTGAGCTCTACTTCCTCACAGCAGGAACGTACAGGGAATGCCCCAAACTGATGTCAGAACAGAGGAGCAAGTCCCTTGTCAGAGATTCAGAGGGGTCTTCCAGGAGCAGCAGCTAAACACCTTAGAAGGAGTTGCCCCTGGAATTTAGACCTTAAAACTATGCTTATGGGTAAGATAAGGAACTGGAGAGACCAGATCTACAAAGAGGACGGGGTCCAGTAAGAAAGGGTCAGGGTAGCGGGCAGGGCTGCTTAGGCTGAGGCCGGGCACAGAGAACCTCCCCTTCCCAGGTCTCAGCTCCATCCTTCTCTCAGAAGTCGGGCTGAGTCCCAGCAGAGTCGGGGCCCCGCTGCACCAGAAGTCTCCAGTCCTGTGTTTGAGGGCGTGTAACTGGCGCCACCCTCGTGCAGGGGCTGTGCAGGGTGGTCGTGTGCTCTGGGGGCCACGGATTTCCCTCTCTCGGCTTGTCCTCGGGCACCTCCTCTCCCCATGCATGCAGTCTAGACATGGCCACACCTGCACAGGCCCATCCAGCAAACAGAATAGACAGGCCACTGGTAGCTTCATCTACAGAACACCTGCTAAGAATTACGCACCCCCAAGTTCGTGAGCAGGGATAATCAGAGACGATACTCAAGGCAAAAAGTATAATACAGCAAGACTTTAGGGCCAATCCCTGCAAAGGGTCCCCACCCTCAGTGAGCAAGGCCGAGATCTTCCTCATGCCCAGTGAAGACATCTCCCAGCCCTTTCTCTTAAGGCCTACAAGGCAGGCAGTTCTTAAAATCTTGCCATTAGATGGAGAAATCCCTGGGATAAAGGTCCACAGAACACCAGGGCAAAGAAAGCATTTCTCCCTAGGGCCTTGAGTAGGGGCAGCCCCCCTCTCTGCTCCTACATCCTCACAGGACTCCTACATAAGTCATAGGACTTTCAGAATAGGGGGCACCCAGGACAGCCTTACAAAGAAGAAGTTCCACAGAAGTGAGAGATCATTTTCCCTTCTACCAAGGCCATCCCTCCCGACATCCTGATTCAGTGATACCCTTAGCCCATGACCCAAGTGCTTGACATTTTTCTCCAGGAATAATGACTCTATGCGTGTGTGCGTGTGTGTGTGTGTGTGCGTGCGTGCATGTATGTGAAAGACTGAGAGAAAAGCAGAGATCAGGGGGCATGAGAGAAGGAGAAACAGGCCTTGGGTTCCCAGAGGGGCTGGCCTGGATTCTAACTTTTACCCCGCACATTGCTTCTGTCATCAAAACATCTATGTAGGAAAAGAAATCGCCCATCTGAGAAGCAAGATTCTGCAGGCCCATTAGTTCACCAAACCTCCTTGTGCTGAGCCCTCTTTTGTTAAAAAAAAAAGAAAAGAAAGAAAGAAATTAGCAACTGGAGTCACACCCTCACCAAGCAAAATGTCTCTTTCACCTCTCTCTCGGCTTTTATGTGTCTACTCCTTTCTCTATTTACATTCTGGTCCCACCAAACAAACCAGTCCAGATGAAAATCTAAATATTTGAACAGCCTCTGTACCAAGGAGGCTCTGGGGGGAAAAATACATAGTGTATCTCTGACATCTGAAGTAAATGCTCTGACTTCTAAGAAAGCAAATTTGCCTGGGAAAAATCGGAGCAATTCCAGGAGGTAAAGCCTCATTTCTCCAGTGACCTAGAGAGAAATCGTGACTCACACACAGAGAAAGAAGCACGAAAGATTTTGGGTATCCACACCCCACGCCGTTTCCTGGGACTTCCCTACCTGCAAATTGTCATGTGATTTATGGAATAGAAACTAACATTAGTTGAACCCCTATTACTTCTGAGAACTTGGCTAAGAACCTTCTTTTTCTCATAATGTTTCCCCAAGTCCCCACAATAACCGTAACAAGTAGCATTTGTTTTCCACACTCACAGATGAGAGACTGAGGCTCAGTTACCAAGGCAGGATTTGAATTCAGAGTTTGTGAACTCTGAAGCTCCTCCTCTAACCCTGGTCTGATATTTGCTGTTCAAGGACCAGATATGGGCATTTAAGGTGGACTGTGCATGACACCTGCCTCCTTCTCCTTTGTGTTTCCACCAGGCGAGCATTGATGCCCCGTGTCTGGGTGTCCTGGCAGCAGAACTGTTCCTTTTGTGTTCCCACACCGATCCTTCAATCACACAACAAGCATTCTTAGGAATGTACCACCTCCTGCGCATTGCAAAGTTTCAGAGCGGTAAGGAGGATTCACCATCTTTTAAAGGGTTACTAAGAATCTGTTCCTATTTCACCTGTGGCTTCCAAGAAGGCTTCCAAGAAATCTGTAGATTTCTAAATCTTATCCTAAGATCCAGAGGTCTACTTTCTAAAATGTATTTTAACATTTTTTAGAATGATCACAAATGCTGGCCATGGCATAGCTGTTTCTCTAAGATCCACTAAGTATGGTACTTAAATTCATGTTGGGTGTTCATGGACAGGAATACTGGGTGGAGGCAGAGAAGAAGAGAGGTTACCAATGGAACTTTCAAAACAGAGGCATATGTTTTCCCTCTACTAGGCTCCCAAGTAGAATACTCAGACGGCTGCTTCAGTGCTGGGGGAAAATTAGCCCACAGCTAAAACAACCCTGCTCTGACAAGCCTAACAAATCATAAAGGCAAGAACTGAAAGTATCAAACTATCTTCAAGTAGCTAACAGAAAATTGGTTTGCTCTCCTATAATAAATGACTACTAAAAAATTATATTAACATCGATAACACAGGGCAAATGATTCCTGAGAGATGGGAACAAATGAGTGGGGTCTACACCTGCCTGAGTTTATCACCTGAAGTCCGTTTCTAGGCTGCAGCACAGAAAGTAGCAATCCCATGGTGTCACCACATGGAAGAGACAGAGCTGGGAACCCAGAGAGGTCAAGGGGGCCAGAGTTCTCAGGGAAATGTGCAGAGACGGGTGCACAAAGAGAGAGCTCCAGAGAGCTGCAGAGGGTCCGCTTTAGCCACTTGGCCGTGTAGAGGTCAGAACATGCACGTGAGGGAACCACCTGAGACAGGCAGGGGCAGGAGAGACACCCAAATGATTCAAAATTTCCCGTAACTCCCGCAGGCTGGGAATAGCCCCCATAACTATAAGCCAGAATTTAAAAACATAATTCACAAGTGGCAAGGTAGAGCATTCAAAGGGATTTTGCCTCATTAGGGGGAAAAGTGATCCCTAGACAAAATTTGCTTTAATGCGACTTAATAAAGCTTCAAAAGAAGACCTAAAGGTATCAAGTGATTTCCAAATACTTTAACTACTCATCAGGGCCAAACTCAAGGCTACTTCTAGGACTACAGGAAGTCTAGCACTCGACAGGTCCAAATCGACAATGCCTGACATTCAACAAAAAATTACTAGGTGTGCAAAGAAGTAGGATACAACCCATATGAGGAAAAACCTAAACAAAAGCTGACCCAGAAATAACACAAATGATGGAATTAGTAGAAAGAGACATTAAAACAGTTAATATGACATTTCATTTTTCTAAGGACTTTGAAGAAAGGATGAACTTGTTAAGTAGAGGCATAGAAAAATTTCTAAAAGACCCAAAGTGAACCTCTGGTAATGAAAACTATAGTATCTGAGATGAGAAACTCTCTGGCAGGGATTAACAATGTAATCTGAAAGAGATCCACAGAAAAAAAAAAGACATTTCATTTAGAGAAACCAAAGCAGCAAGTTTCTCACCATAAACAATAACAGCCATAGACAGTGGAGTGACCTCACACAGTCCTCAAAGAAAAACCATCTATCTAGAATTTTAAACCAGCAAACATCTTTCAAAAATTTCATGTTGGGTGTTCATGGACAGGAATACTGGGTGGAGGCAGAGAAGAAGAGAGGTTACCAATGGAACTTTCAAAACAGAGGCATATGTTTTCCCTCTACTAGGCTCCCAAGTAGAATACTCAGACGGCTGCTTCAGTGCTGGGGGAAAATTAGCCCACAGCTAAAACAACCCTGCTCTGACAAGCCTAACAAATCATAAAGGCAAGAACTGAAAGTATCAAACTATCTTCAAGTAGCTAACAGAAAATTGGTTTGCTCTCCTATAATAAATGACTACTAAAAAATTATATTAACATCGATAACACAGGGCAAATGATTCCTGAGAGATGGGAACAAATGAGTGGGGTCTACACCTGCCTGAGTTTATCACCTGAAGTCCGTTTCTAGGCTGCAGCACAGAAAGTAGCAATCCCATGGTGTCACCACATGGAAGAGACAGAGCTGGGAACCCAGAGAGGTCAAGGGGGCCAGAGTTCTCAGGGAAATGTGCAGAGACGGGTGCACAAAGAGAGAGCTCCAGAGAGCTGCAGAGGGTCCGCTTTAGCCACTTGGCCGTGTAGAGGTCAGAACATGCACGTGAGGGAACCACCTGAGACAGGCAGGGGCAGGAGAGACACCCAAATGATTCAAAATTTCCCGTAACTCCCGCAGGCTGGGAATAGCCCCCATAACTATAAGCCAGAATTTAAAAACATAATTCACAAGTGGCAAGGTAGAGCATTCAAAGGGATTTTGCCTCATTAGGGGGAAAAGTGATCCCTAGACAAAATTTGCTTTAATGCGACTTAATAAAGCTTCAAAAGAAGACCTAAAGGTATCAAGTGATTTCCAAATACTTTAACTACTCATCAGGGCCAAACTCAAGGCTACTTCTAGGACTACAGGAAGTCTAGCACTCGACAGGTCCAAATCGACAATGCCTGACATTCAACAAAAAATTACTAGGTGTGCAAAGAAGTAGGATACAACCCATATGAGGAAAAACCTAAACAAAAGCTGACCCAGAAATAACACAAATGATGGAATTAGTAGAAAGAGACATTAAAACAGTTAATATGACATTTCATTTTTCTAAGGACTTTGAAGAAAGGATGAACTTGTTAAGTAGAGGCATAGAAAAATTTCTAAAAGACCCAAAGTGAACCTCTGGTAATGAAAACTATAGTATCTGAGATGAGAAACTCTCTGGCAGGGATTAACAATGTAATCTGAAAGAGATCCACAGAAAAAAAAAAGACATTTCATTTAGAGAAACCAAAGCAGCAAGTTTCTCACCATAAACAATGACAGCCATAGACAGTGGAGTGACCTCACACAGTCCTCAAAGAAAAACCATCTATCTAGAATTTTAAACCAGCAAACATCTTTCAAAAACAAAGTGAAATCAAGATATTTTCAGATTTACAAGACCCAGTAGAATTTATCACCAGCAGACCTGCACTGTCAGAGATATTAAAGGAAATCCTTCAAGAAAAAAAAATGAACCCGCTGAAAATCTACATCTACAAAAAGGCACAAAGAGCACTGGATTGCAACTGTATACATTAATATTAATTTTTTCTTGATTTTTCAGTCTCCTTAAATGATAATTAACTGTTTAAAGCAAAAAATAACAATATAAAAGCTAAATATATAACAAAAATAGCACAGAGGCTTGAAAGGGAGTGAAGTATGAATCTGTTTAAGGGTCTTATACACAAAGCTATGAAATATCACTGAAAAGCAACCTGTGATGTTAAAGATGTAGAATGTAAACTCTAAAGTGGCCACGTAGAAATACAGCAAAACATTCTACATACTCCAGCCAAAATGGAGATAAAATAGAATCATAAAAAGCAATAAAAGAAGACAAAAAAGAGGACAAAATAGAAAAACAGAGGGGAAAACAGACAACAAATCGTGAAATGAAGACTTAAACCTGTCCAGAATAAATGTAAATATTCTGAATACTTCCAGTGGAAAAGCAAAGATTACCAGTTGGATAAAAAGCAAAACTCAACTATTTGCTGCCTATGAAAAATCCATTTTAAATATAATGACACAAATTGAATTAAGAGTTAAATATTGGAAAATTATATACCATACCAATACTAGTCAAAAGAAACTGAAGCGACTGTATCAGTATCAAAAAATATATATTTCACAACAAAAAATGCTTCCAGGGAAAAAGAGTAGATAATTTCTTAGTGACTAAATAAGAAGATGTAACAGTCCTAAATATTTATGTATCTGTATGCAAAAATATATTTTTAAAAATCAAAGTACACTTAAGAAAAACTGATAGAATTGCAAGGATAAACATCTGTAATTACGGTCAGATAATTCAGTACCTCTCTCTCAGTAATTCATAATTAAGCAGAAAATCGATAAGGATATAGATTCAAGCCAACTTGACCTAATGGATCTTTACAGAACACTCCACCAGTAATGGGAAAATGCATGTTCTTTTCAAGGGAAATCAGAAAATTTACCAAGGTGGACCATATTCTAAGCCATAAGACAAGTCTCAAGAAATCAAATGGTATTTAAGTCATACAAATACAATCTCTGGCAAATTTAGAGTTAAATTAGAAATTGAAACCCCAGATATCTGGAAAATCCAAAATATATGGAAACTACATAATCTACTTCTAAACAACCCATGTGTCAAAAAAAAAAAAAGTAATAAAAAAAGGAATTGAAAGTACTTTGAACTAAATGAAAATGAAATACAAAATTCCAAAATTTATGGGATGGAGCTAAACAAGCTCCCAGAAGGGGAATTAATAGCACCCTATGCCTGTGTTAGAACAGAGAGAAAAGGTCTCAAATCAGTGACCTCAGCTTCCACCATGAGAAGTGGAGGAAGAGCAAAAAGAATGCAAAGTTAGCAGAGGAGAGGAAGAAATCAAGATCAGAACAAAACAAAAACAAGCAGAAAGCAGAGAAACAGTAAGAGAAAAGCAATGAAGCCAAAAGCAGTTTCCTTGAGAAGATTGGGGGGAAATCAGAGATTACCAATACCAGAAGTAAGAGCAATGATGTCACCAGATGGTCTGTGGGTAATAGAACAACAGTGAGGGATATCATGGACAACTTTATGCCAATACATTTGACAACTTAGATAAAATCAATGAATTTGTTGAAAGATACAAACTTGCAAAGCTCACTCAAGAAGATTTAACCTGAATACTCTGTATCTATCAAAGAAATTGAGCTAAAAACCTTCTTGCAAAGAAAACTCCAGACTGAAGTGATCTAGCAAACATTTAAGGAAGAAATTATACACATTCTTCCAGAAATGTGAGGAGAATACTTGGCCACTCATTCTATGAGGCCAGCATTACTCTGACACCAAAACCGCATAAAGACATTACAAGAAAAATAAATACAAAAAACTACTGACCAATGTTCCTCAGGACATAGATGCAAAAGCTTTTAACAAGCTTAGCAAATCAATTATTACAATACATAAAAGAACTAATGTATCATGTCATGTGGAATTTGTCCCAGGAGCGCAATGGCAATTCAACATTTGAAAAGCAATCAGTGTAACATAACACGCAGTTTCATACTAACAGATGAAAAAATATGACTACATGATCATTTCAGTAGATACAGAGAAAGCATTTGATAAATTGCGATATTCATTCCTGATGGAAACTCATAGAAAACTAGGACTAGACAGGGAATTTCTCCACTTGCTGAAGCGTATCTGTGAAAAAGATAAAGCTAATATCATACTAATAGTGAAACTGAATGACTTCCCCAAAAGATCAAGAAAAAGATAGGGATGTGTGGTATCATTACTTCTACTCAGCACTGTGCTGGACAGAACAGAATAAACAGTTCAGAAATAAGTCCACACATATGTGGTCAAGTGATTTTCGACAAAGATTCAAAGGCAATTCTATAAGGAAAGGATTAATTTCAATAAATGATGTTGGACAAATTGGTTATTAATATGCAGAAAATAAAAGCTAATTCAAATGGACAAGAGAACTAAATGTAAAACTTAAAACTAGGAAAGTAGGAGAAGTCATCATACCTTGGGTTAGGCAAACATTTCTTAAATGCACAACTGAAAGCACGATCTATAAATAGGGGGAAAAAAAGATAAAATAAGTATTTCTGTTTTTGAAAGACACTGTTAAGGGAATAGGTGAGCCAAAGACTAGGAGAAAATATTTGCAAGTTACGTATCTGATAAAAGGCTTGTATCCTGAATTTTAAGAACACTCAAAGCTCAATAAGGAAACAGATTACCAAAGTTAAAAACAGCATTAGGTTTGAATAACCATTCCACCAAGAAGCACCCAAGGCAGGGAGACCCATCACGGGAGGTTCAAAAGAGGGTCATAAAAGGAATGCGAGCTAAAAGCTGCGATGAGATCCCACTACCCGCCCATCAGAATGTCTGCAATTGAGAAGGCAGGCCCCCCACGTGTCAATAAGGATGTGAAGCGGCTGGAACCCCCCTACGCTGCTGCAGGGAAGGGGACATGGTGCGAGTTTGGAAGATCATGGGGCAGGACCTTCAAAGTTACACATGCATCTAACACACGAGTCAGTCGTTCCACACGTAGTACTTGCCTAAGACAAATGAAAGCAAGCATCCATAAGAGGCTTGTTGACAAACTGGCGGCCCTCCGAGTGCCCCGGTGGGTGGGTACTGTGCACACGGCAGGATAGCGCGCCTCAGGAAATGGAGACAGCCATCCACGCACAGCCGCCAAGTAGCAGCATGAGTCCACTCACATAAAATTAGAAAACACAGACTTGGCAGAAGGCAGGCCAGTGGTTGCCTTTGGGTCCAGGTTGTCTGCCAGTGTGGGGGGTTAAAAAGGACCTGGTTTTGGGGGCAATGAATGGGGTGGGTGGCTGGCTGGTGTTTGACTGCACGAGTGTTTTCATGGTTATGTGCATCTATGAAAATCAGCCAAATTGGACAGTTAAGTAGTTTATCCGCTACATCCCTATAAAGCTGTTAAGGAGCTCACAGACATTATTTAAAACTGGCTTTCTCTGGAACTACGGACATCTGTCCCTGCAGCTTCCGCTGGGAGCTCCTGGCTGTCCTGCAGCCACTCCCCCAGCTCTTTGCAAGAGACCCCAAGTCCACTCCCCTAGACTGTCCAGCCAGTGGCTCTCCCAGAACACAGGACGCGTGTCTGAGGGCCTCACTGTATCTGACATCCGGCCAACCTATGAAAGTTATGTATTCATCCTATTCACAGAGGCCTCTCTTAAACATTGCATAAGCTCTGGGCCAGTACAGCCACAATATTTCATCAGACTGAACTATCACATAGTTAAATATCCAGAAAACTTAGGTCCCCAGAACAGGGTAGAAGAGGGGTCTGGAAAGGGAAACATGTGCAAAGAGCCAGTGACCAAGTAAAAACCTTGAGCTCTTTTCTTTGACGCAGCAGATATTGAAAAAAATAAAACTACAATGTGCAAGCCCGGAAATCATTGCCTTTCCTTCTCTCCCTCTGAAATGGAATTCCTGCCCAAGATCTTGCAAAGGGACAAAACCAAATTTGCTCAGGTAACTCAGCCCCCACTTTATCCCACGGCTTTTCTTTCATGTGTATTATTACTTTCAGTAGCAACTTATGGCAAGGGTTTACATTTGCAGTAAATTTTTTCCATTTTTAAAAAATGTAGTGAAGCAAAGAGTGAACAATATATGGAGTATTTGGCCCCCCGAGTTCCATGTTAATCACTAGGGTGCCTATTTTTCCTGATGGCAGCAATTTATCCGACTTTATTTAACCCTCATAGAATGCAAGTGAGGTGGGCATTTCCTAGTTTTATGCTTTGTTTGTCTGGCTAACAAACAGGTCACTAAAAAGGAGGAAGTTCTAGCAAAATTAATGGAGTCACCAATCAACAGGCTTTTCAGTAGTAGTATAATTTACTCAGAAACTATCAAAATACTGTGATACAGATTTTTAAAAACCTATTAAATCAAAATATTTTTAAGTGATAAGCCTGAGCACCAAGTACATAGTTTTTACACTGACCCCACCCTCGGGAGGCCCTGGGGCTCTCTAGCCCTGGGTCCCTCAGGTTCTTCAAAGCTGGGAGGTCCAGCACAGCAGAGCTGCCGGGGAGCCCCTCCGGCCACACCGTCTCGGACCAGGAGGGTTCAGGTTCCTCCTAAAGCCACAGATGGAGAACAGAGCCTCCCCTCCCGTGGCTGAGACAGAGGGCGCTGTGGGCGCCGAGCAGGTGCAGGGCCGAGACATCGCACACAGCACGACTGGACGCTGCAGAGACGTCCTGTGTGCTTGTCTGCACGACTGCACGGCTTCCAAGACCGAGCATTCTTGGTCCACCTCCCCTCAAAAACCGCAAGCCTGATTGATGATGTTGTTCATTTGCATGAAGAACGACCTGTGTGGGTTTACTAGAAACTCCTACGCCCCCCATCCTCCCCTCCAGTACCCTGGAGACAGACCCTGAGCGTGGCTGGGCTAGTGAGCCCAGGACCGCAGCCTCCCCTGGGCCGATGCCAAGCCACCCACAAGGCTCTCCGTGCCTGCGCCCAGGCCCACCGTCCTGTCTGACAGGAGCCTGACGTCCTGCACACTTAGAAACCCTCCCGTTTGGGGCGTATGCTCTGGCTTCCACATTCAGTTCCAGCTGTGAGGCTGTGCAGGCCTAGGGCCGGCTCTGCACACAGGAGCAGCTGGGAACCCGGGCTGAGGGCTTTCCGAGGCAGACTGGGACTGGGGGAGCGAGGTTCTCAGGTGGAGCTGGGGACCAGGAGGATCCCCAGTCCAAGGGTGCACACAGTAGGGCGAGCATCGAGGTTTGTGGCAAGAGGGTGAGAAGCAGAGCACCTTCACACAGGAGAACGGGGTTTTTTGAAAAGCAGCTGACTGAGTAAGGGGCTGCCCTGCGGAGTGGCCACCGTGAGAGAGGACGCCACATTCCTGGGGGCCCGCGAGTCCCAGACTAACCGGCAGCAGCAAAAGAGCCACACCCAGAAAACTAGAAACCCCTGCGCACAGGAGCAGAGAGGCAGGGTCTCCACATGACGAATCTATTTATGAGAAGAGGCTCCTCACAGATTTGTGACTTAAAAAATAAAGGTAGGTCAAACATGGAGAAATAAACGACAAGTGAATATCAGTTATGCAGTATGTTATGCAGCTATCACAGTGACTGTCATTGGAACTGTGTAATAAGATGGTATAATAGGGACACAGAGGAGGAGAGAAAGGCCTCCCTCAAGTCCAGCCCGTCCCATGTGACTGGTATGTCTCTGAAGAGCCATGTGTTGGCCACATTTATAAGGTGACCCTCTCATTTGATGCACTCCACTGTCCCCCATGGACCCTAACACCAGCTCCAGGTCCCACTGGGACTTGCTCCTTCTACAGCTTTTAAATAGACATTGAAATAAAGTATTTCTTTGAGTAAACAAATATTCTAAAGAGATCAGTCCCCCTTACAATGATTTCTTTTTAATTCAACATCTTAAAGAATAAAATCTGGCTTTCTTAAAGCAGGACAAACTTAATAAAATTCAGTCCACTTCTCCAAGCCTCAGCGGCCCACCTTTGGCTTCTTCCACAGCTGTAAAGAATATGTCCTCGCTCAGACCTCAGTCCTGCCCTACCCACCAAAAAGAGCTACATTTCATCCCCTTAAAGGGGCTGCAGAACAGCTTTTGTTGACAAGAGCGGTTTCCTCCTGTCCTTGGAAGAATGACTGTATGTGTACGTATGTGTGTATTATATGCAAGGACGTGATACATACATACAAAAAGAGAAAATGTGGCTCATTCATCTTCCTTAACCAAATGATCCCCATCACATAATTCTGCTCACATTTTGTGTCCGCAGATAATCCTCTTAAAAGGGGTTGTCGGGGTGGCAGCTTCACTGCGGACATAAGGGCTTTTTCTCTTCCTGCTCCCTGATCTTTCCCTGGGAGACCCTCGGCCACCCTACCTTTCGGGCTCCGTCCCCTCCTGCGTCTTCCGCTCGTCAAGCTTGTTTCTGATCTGAGCAAACCCACTTCCAAAGCTGAGGAAAGCCACAATAATCTCCAATAGTTGAACAGCTAACCTGGGGCAAAGTCGACATTGGACGGTTCCTTCTCATTTTAATGCCCCAGTTCTCCGCGTCCCCCGGGCCCGCCCCAGAGCTGACTTAACCGAAGGAAGTGTTTTCATTGCTTTAAAAATCATAAGAATAAGCACAAAAGTAATTCAGTTTGAACGATAGTCCTCTTCATGCCGACACAGTAGTAAATATAATCCTTGACTTGCTTCTTGGGGGAGGAAGCCGGAACGGCTGAGTCCCACCCACCCCGGAGGTCAGCCGCCGCCTCTGCCGCAGGAAGGCCTGAGCACGCCTCCCCCTGGTTTCAGATCATAGGGCAAAGCCTGCAGCCCTCCTTGCTGACCGACTTCGTGTGGACCCTCCTGATGGCCCTCTCCACGGCCGATGGCTCCACGGCGTCCGAGGCGGCCACCCTCCTGCAGCTGATCCTGGAGCATCACACCCACAAGGTCACCGCGGTGAGGCGCCAGCCCCGAGCGGGAGCGGCCACTCTCTGATGCTCTTTCTGCCTTTATTGCATGTCTTCTTTTCATATCTATTCACCTCTATGGCTCGTTATATCACGTTGATATTTTTTGTGTGAAATATTTCAGGCATACTGAAAAGGCTCCCAATACCCATCATGCCAAATCATAGCATTTCACCATTTTTGTTTCGCATTTTTAAAATAAATACATTAGTAACAAGGAAATAGGACAGCTGTAGTTGAAAGGCCCTGTGTGACCATTAAGGGCCCTCAGCTTGCAGGAGGGCCGGCCACTTAACTGTGGGGCCCAGTGTAATACGGAATGTGCGGCTTCTTGTTCAAAACACAGGAAAGGACTGTAAATGAGCAAATACACGGGGTGTTTCCCTTTCCCCCACCATTTCTCTCAATTTGCCACTGTGTTTTTAGTTTCTATTTTATGTCTCTGTTAGTAAAGGCAACAACTAAAACTTTAAATTGTGAGCAGGAATTTTATCACCCAGCTTCAGATTGTTCAGTGCCGGTTATAGATGTAAGTGTGAGAGATTCATCTCAACAAAATAATGCAACTCGTACTTCACGGCATCCTTACCCCAGAAGTGGAAGCACTGCACCGCTGACCCCACATGTCTGCTTCACTCCGGCCATGCTCACTGCCTCTAACACGCATCGCCCTCCACCCCCGGCTTATTGGTCAGCAAGGAAAGATTGAAAGGCAGGGAGGTTGCAGGTGGCCCTTTTTCTCTCCTCCTGTGGCATCATTTCAGCCTTCCACAGAGCCCAGGGCTGCTTCCTGAGGGGTGTTCCCAAAGGCCGGCTCCGCTGAGGGAGCTCTGGGGGCCCAGGACAGCCCCTCTCTGACCCAGTCGTGGCTCATCCAGAACTGTGAGGAGGCCCAGTGGTGCCATGCAGAGTTCCTGCAAAGGAGAAGCCAGCCAGAGACTAGGCGTGTACCACCAGCCTCCCCTCTGGAAAATCTCTCAACACAAAGGAAAACTCCACAGAACTGGGGTCTGGCAGTTAGGCGCCCCACCCCAGCTCCCACAAAGAACCCCACTGCTCAGCACCGTGGGCTCTTGTCCTAAACGGGGTCAGCTTCTGAAGTCAGTCATGAGGAAAAATTGTGTGTGGTTAAATTATCCCTGAGAACCCCTGTATTACACTTTGATACATGGATTTATAATCTCTGAGTAATCCTAATGTGGCAGATCTCTCCTTGAGGACTGAAGCCGTGGGGTCTGTGCAGACCAGTGTCAGCATCTCCCACTTGCATGCGGAGCCTCAGTCCTGCATGACGTAACCCTTCACTTGTCATTTTTTTTGTTCAGGGCAGAGGGTTATGCACAGGTAGTTAAGTTGTATGTGAGGCCGTTGCAATGGGACTTAAGGTCACATCAACCAAGTGCTCAGCTTATGTTTCCTAGAAGTATTTTCAAACTAAGAAGGGAGGTGATCTCAGTGGATTAAATCTGACATTGAACATACAACCATTCAGTGGAGATGAATTCCAGATCCAGCTAGAATGAATACAAAGGGGAAAAATAAAGCTGGCATGAGGCCATGAGCAGAGCCTGTGAGGCTAGGGCCCAGCACTGACCAAGCCGGGCCGTCCCCCATGCGGCTCGCCTCTCCCATGGGCAGATCCATCTTCCTCAGCCGTCAGACACTTTTTTGAACTATGTGGTTCTATTGTTATTCCGTTCCGTTATCTTGACTTTCTTCTCAACACTTGGGTTATACATGTGTTTTCTATGTTGAGCTTATGTGTCTTACATAATGAAGTCTAACCCCACAAAATAAACTTTTTTTTAAAAAAAGGGTATTTTCCCACCATCAGTCACGGCACAGGTTTATTCCTCATCCCAGTAGTAAATATCTCGCGGTGGCGGTCACACTCCTAGATCGCTTCCTGCGAGTGCCGGCCACCGTCCTGGTCGTGCTGAGAGGGCCTGACTTCACAGGTCCAAGAAACGCCTCGGTTTGGAGTGGCCGTGGGACAGGAGACGCCTGTTGACTCGTGCAATTGTTTTTCCAGGTGTCCAAGATCGTGGATGCTATTTATAAGCAGCTGTGTAGAAACTCCTCCCACGTCGTGAAGGACGCGATGCTGCAGATCATCACCTTGCTGACACGCACCTACCCTAAGACGGTCATCTTTCAGCTTATGGACTGTCCGGTCCCTGCAGACAAGTAAGGCCCCCACGCCTTCCACAAGGGTTTGCTCACAGCCTGCAGAGCCAGAGAGACGGGGGCCAGGCAGGTCTGGCTGCCTGCATGCTCAAAGAGGCCACATCGTGGGGGATGAGTGCAGGGCCTGAGTAAGATCTCGTATGTTTCTCACATCCGTGTATACTACCTGGCTCACCGTAGACCGTCAAGAAAAGATCAGTCACTGGTGTTGATCCAAGGCTTTAACTGTGTTCTGCTGCATATCCCAGAGGAAAGAACCTCTCTTCAAAGGGGTAATAGGCTTTTCTCCCCAATACGTGGTAAAATTCAGTAGGTTTTTTTTCCTTGTTTATGAAGGACAGATGTAAGGTACTTCAACCCACTAATAAGATAATGACACATTGAAATTCCCAGATATAATTGGGAGTCCCCTGTCCTTTAACTGTTGATCTGAAATTCATGGCCCACAATCACAATAAATATTTAAGAAGAAAAGAATGCCGATGTGGTCCTGCAGATGCTGTGGTCCCAGCAGGCCCATAGAAGGCCTTGCTCAGGGACTTCAGCCCTTTTCTGCAGCTGGTACACTGGAAAGGAAGGCATTGTTTCTCCACTATAAACAGGGTAAAATGCAGGAAGTTTTATTATGGCAAATATTCAGGCTTTGGAAACAATTGACCTGAACCATATCCCAGCCATGAGGTGGTCCACAATCCCCCAGCTGTGAAATGAGGAACGTTTTTTATAAATCTGTTATATGAGCTGATGTCTATGAAAGATGCATTGAAATCAACAAAATTCTAGACCAATTATATGACAACTTCCTTTTTCCAACTCAAAGATGGTATTTATTTAGGAAGCTTTACTATTTAGAAAATTCCTGGAAACCAAAATTCTCATTTCAAACTAAGTTTGCTGTGTGTGTGTGTGTGACACCAGCCTTCCAGCACTTTGTGGAAGAGAGGGTATCTGCCCACACTGACATAAGATAAACGGTGCCAATGACTCCAATACCAGCAATATGTCCTGAGGAGGTACAGAAAGCGTGATTGGTTAGGTTGGACCTAATTAAAACGGTCGCCCACAGGCTTTGTGAAATACTAGGCAAGGTTTGGGGAAGGCTAGGATTTGGAGGGAAGCTAAACCAGAGAAACACGGGAAGATCTGATCACAGAAATATGGCCAAGAGGTAAGGGACCAAGACAGGGGGAGTGGGGTACAGTGTGGCCATGGCTCTCAGAGGGAGAGCAGGTGGGAGTGGCTCCAATGCATCTCAGGAGCTGGGCACATCCGGGCCCCTGGGCCAGGCCCTCGAAGCAAAGGCTGACACAGCGTTCAGAGCCTGCAGGGCTGACCGGGCACCAGGAATATGTCACTGAAGAAGCATGATGTCCCCTCAGGGGCCTGTGTGCTGCCACGGGCATGCAGTAGAGTGGTTCCTAAATGTGCCATCGTAGGAGAAACCTTGCAGAGAGGCTGGGCATGTAAGGAAGGGGCTGGGGACCAGAGGGGTGGCCAGAAGACGAGGACCTAGTCACTCTGTGTTGCTAAGAGTGTGACATTTGGCAAAACAGCCCCCTCCTCTGTTTTTAAATTTAATTTTCTAATTTTTAATTCATGTTGTTAGTTTTCTATGTTGTTTTGCACCTAGTTAGTTCTATCCACTGGCCTCTATTTGTATGTTAATCTGTATTTTCATGCCAGTCTTTAAATACTCTATTACCCTGGACAGACAAGGTCACAGGCGGGCGGGACAGAGAATGGTGTACGCACAGGGAGCTGGCCAGTTCCAGACGTCAAGCTGGGCAGATGTTTAAATACCAGCAGGAAATGAACTTGCAGGCCTGCAGACTGTGTTTTCCAGAAGATCTTATGGAAGCTCATTCTCTGCTGTCAAGAACATCCTTTCGAAGTAGGATATCAGTTTGTTTTGGACGGGTCTGCAGTGTCTCTGCTGTGTAAACATATAAACCAGGACTCTCCCTGAGCCATGTCACAGTCACACATGGGACATGAATACCTGCGGTGGCTACCGGGGGCTGTGTCTGCAGCCCCCCTGATGGACCTCAGGGCTGTGTCTGCAGCCCCCCTGACGGCCCCGGGGGTGCATCTGCAGCCCCCCTGATGGCCCCGGGGGTGCGTCTGCAGCCCCCCTGATGGCCCCGGGGGCTGTGTCTGCAGGTCTCTGCTACTAATGTGGCATGCAGCTGGTTCTGAGTCAAGCGTGGCCCCTCACATGCTGCAGACAATTTTGCTGATCCTGAAAGGGAAGCCCGGGCAGACGCAGGACAGCCCGATGGAAAAAAGACGCTTCTCTATGGATGCTGCCAACATGATGCCTGTGGTGGTAAATCACGCACGACTGTGCCCTTTCCCCAGCCATAAACATCCCCGCCCACCCGCTTGGCGCAGTCCTGCGCTCAGTGTTCATTCGCCCCACACACACCTACTCAGTGTGCACCGTGAACCATGCCTGGCCACAGGGCCATCAGTTCCGGTGAGAGACACAGACAAGAAAGCGGAGCAAACGGCTGCCTCTCATTAGCCATCCCTCTGCCCTGGGCGTTAGGCGCACAGGGACCTGCCTTCTTCACGCCCCGTGTGAGGGGGGCTGGGGCCATGCCCTCCTAGGGAACGGGGCTGCTTCCTGCTGGCTGGCAGCCAGGGCACAGTGGACAGGGCCCTGGAAGCCCATGGCCAGAGCACCTCAGCACAGCTCCTGTCCTTGAATGATGGGCACACACTGCTGCCCGGCTTGCTTCAAGGGGGTGGGGGCTGCACAGTCTCCCACCCTCCGCACAGTGAGGGGTTTCGAGGGAGAAGACACCACCGGCATCCTTTTCTCCTGCAGGCATGCCAGGCCCTGTGCACACTGCTGCCTATGAAGTCTTACAGGAAGCCGGTGGCCCAGTTCTTCCCCCAGCTCCTGATGGCCCTCCTACTTCAGCTGTTTTACAGCAGCAGCCTGAGACTGACCACTGGGGAGAGGCCTTTGTGAGATGGTGTTGTTATTTGAGACTGAATAAGGGCTGTCAGTCATTTACACCCCATATCCGGTATCCGTATCCCGGGGGCAGGGCACCCCTTCCCTGCAGACTCCTCCTCTCAGGAAGGCAGAATATCCCCAGAAAAGCCAGTCCTCAGTACCTAGAGGCAGCTGACCTCCCCGGAGTGTGTGTGGGGTTGAAGAGCTGCCCCGCAGAACAGGTTGATTCCTGCAGCCACAAGGTCCCTGGGGGGAGAGCAGGGATTTTACAGTCCGTAGACAGGTCCACCCCGCATCCCAGGTGCTGCTCATCGGGGAGGCGGACAGCAGCTGGCCAGCTCCCTCTCTGCGAAACGGCCCCTTTCCCAAAGCTGCATCCTGCCCGGGATGGAACGAGAAGGTAGGGCACACACACTTAACTCCATGGCAGCCACTGCCCAGCGGTGACCCTGCTCCCTTCTGGGGCCAGGTTTGCCCAGGACGCCCTGCGGGCTCTGCTGAGTTGCTCCGGACTGCAGCAGGTGGACTGTGCTCTCGAGAGAAGAAACTTATGGAGCCAGTGTTCTCATGAGCTGTCTCACCACCATGGGATCCACCTCATCGCCAAGTAAGAACAGGTCTTTGCACGGGGTCTCAGCCCACTTGCCCCTCCTTCTGCAAGTCAGTCACTCCCTCTTCCAAGTCTCTCCTGATGATCCGAGGTGCCATCTGATTTCTACTTCGCCACTCACTTTGAGGGGCTCTTATTCTGTGGCAATTCTCCCTTCCCTTGCCCTCTTGTCTAGCCCAGGTACCCAGCAACACAGAGCAGGCTGCTCCTCCGTCAGGTTCGGAGAGCTGGCAGGGAACCCGTTTCCCCATTCTGGCTCTGCAGGCATTAGACGGTTGTAGACGGACTTCCATTTTTAAGAGGGTCAACAAAACCTGCTCTCAGTGAGACAGACACACGTGGGACAATATAACAGAAAGGAATTTTACTTTTCTTGTACTAGAAAGGGTATTTCTTTCTCGTTAGCCTCTTTGTGAATAGCAAGCTTCTGATTAGAAATCAGGTCTTTCTGATGAGGAACCCAGACACGCCGACTCACAGCCCCGTGGCCCATTGGGAAGCACTGACCCAGAAGGTGCCGTCCATCTGGTCTCGGTGCTTTCAAAACAACATCTGATTTGCGCGTGGATTTCAGGAGCACATCTTGTTTTGCGAGCGTGTGCTTCGCCCGCCCCTGCCGTGGCCCCGTTGAGTCACTCCACCCTGTAGCACCTCAGTTCATCTTGCTCAGGCATGATCTCTAGACCAGCAGGAACACATTGCCTGGGGGTTCAAAGCGCAGGATGCTTTGGCTCAGTCCCTGGTTGCTCGGTCAGAATCTGCACCTTAGTAAGAACCCAGGTGATCTGCACCACATTGAAGTTCGAGAAGCCCCAGTCTGGAGCACTGACCTGGGTCCTCAAAGGGGGTCTGTCACACCATCCTGCCCAATCCTGCCACTGCCCATCTGATCCAGGCCAGCCAGACGGCCACGTGTCAGGAGAATAGCTAAGGGCATCAGGGTACCCCACCTTCCTCCTGAGCAGCCCCGGAGAGCCCCGAACTCTTGGTCTTTATATCATTCAAGAGAAGAACTTGTTCTAAAGTCACAAAGGTGACCTGCGTAGCCATCTTGGATCAACAGTGTGACTCATTTTCCAGCCCTTTGCTCAGACATGGATGGCAGTTTGTGGCGACCAGGTGTTCTGCTCCATGGACTGGGTGGGAGCAACAGGAAAGAGAACGGGCATCAGGAGAGATGGCAGTGTCCAAGTACATGTTCCCAGAATTTGTGCAGAGCCCATACATGGGGCTGCTTGATGAGGGACTATTAGAGAATATCTTTCTTGTTATCTGGGTGGTAGAAAATAGGAAAATGATTCTTCGCGGCCATTAGCTGATGGGCAGGTGTCCCACCTTCTGTGCTGATGCGGCGCTTTGTCCTCCTTCACAGAACTCTCAGCGAGCATCACTTCCCGCAGTTCCCACAGACCCTGCAGTATCTCTACAAGCTCTCGGTGGAGGGGCTCAGAATGTCCGACAACAGTATCGTCACAATTACATTCCTCATGGAAGTGAGTCTGACTGGGAGACCGAGCAACCAGGTTCTATCTCCCGCCCCTACCCAGCCCTAAGTCAGCTCTCCACCCTTCACCTCCCTCCCCGAACCCTGGCGCTCACCCAGAGTCTGGCGGTGACGGCGCCTCAAGTCCTGGGCATGAGGTGGAGGATTACGAGAGCGTCGTGCCTCTGGCCTGCTCCGCGGGCTGGCTTTGGTCCTTTCCCAGGGGCCGGGGATTTGCGCAAACACTAATTTTCTTCTGTGTAGTACCAGATCATGTATCTCTACATGCTTGTTAAAGTGTATCACGGGCTAACTGGGTTCATGGAAGATGGAACACCTGGGGCCAAATAACACTGCAGACTCTCCAGTCCAAATAATGGGGTGAAGTGAAGATAAGGGGCTGTTTTACTTCTTAAAAGAGTGTTACACCATATATTTTAATGCCACGCTTGAGTCAAGGAAATCGAGGAAGCGCTCTTGCTTCTAAAAAGCATGTTGGAAGTTCTGTAAGTTGAAATGATCTGAGTCAAATCTAATTTTCCAAAAAAAATAATATATAGTAAGAAGTATTGGTCTAAGGGGCGAGGCCAAATATTTTCAGAGGTTTGACGTGAAGTCAGCCAAACTGGGAATTAACTGTACGTGCACATCCTTGCACTGTGCTGCCTGCTTGTGAAGCTCTCAGACGACGCATAAATCAGTTTGGCCAAGTGGTGCCGTGGCAAATCTAGTGTCTTTCAAACTGGCCTAATGCATGCAAATATCTCATTTTTATTATGGGACTTATTATTTTTGTTGTATTGTCTTTTAACGTACAAACATTAAGTCAGTCCAAAAAGCTCCCCTAAAATGCTACGTTCAGAAGAAATTTACAAGGTACATAAGACTGACATAAGCATCATTAATGTGACAGATCTGCATTAATGAGAACTAACTGCTTCTCCTGTCGTGAGTGGCATTATTTTTGTGAAAGTTCTTTGGCATCAGAAAGAATGCTCCTTGCTATGGGTGAACCGCTTGCCTGTCCCTCCGAGACTCAGTGGAGACCACATTCTTCCACTACTTTCTCTGATCGGAACTTCCGGGCAGCCCTGACCTGCCAGTTCATCTTGAGGCCACGTGGCTTTGTTATGAGCATGCATTCTAGTATTTTACCTTATTTTGGTCTTATCAGCCTGCAAATTTAAGACAGTATTATCGACATGTATCCATTTATGTATATCCATTTGCTATTTCCAGTTTTCTTCTAATATAAATGGAAATAGTGCCTAAATCTTAGTGCCTAAATCTTCTTTCTTTTCATACTTTAGATTATTTCCTTCTAATAGATTCCAAGAATCTGAAATAACTACTAAAAAGTGTAAACATTCTCCAGGCTATGGATCTTCAATGCCAAATGGATTCCTGGGAGACATGCCAACCAGTGTCCCCCACACAGCTTCTTAAGGACCCCTTGTCAGTGGGTGGCTTCCTCCATAGTTTACGGCTCTGACACACAAACGGGAAGACGGTTCTCTTAAATCTCCAAGTGTTTATAGGCTTTCTTTTTTTTCCATTTAAACTTTCTTCTCGGTTTCTTCTTTTATTATACATACAATGGTATATTTTTTAAAGGTGATTTTCAAATGTTTTGCTTTAGGGAAGTTACTGATTTTTTCTACTGCAGTATCGTTGATATGCCATCTTATATCGGTTTCAAGTAAAAAACACAGTGGTTCAACAGTTACCCGTATTATTAAATCGTCACCCCGACTAGTGCCATTACTGTCCATCAACATAGGAAGATGTCACAGAATCGTTGACTATATTCTCCATGCTGCACTTCCATCCCCGTGACCAGGAAGTCACTGATTTTTGTGATCTGGGCATTATTTTTGTGCAAGTTCTTTGGCATCACAAAGTATCTATGGTCTCTCCTCCTTCTCACCCACTCGCCCTCCCCTGCTCTCCATTTTTCTGTATACTCGATGTGTCTCAGTGATATTTTTTAATTCTCCCATGAAAATTGTTTTTATATAAAGCTGTCCTTGTGTTCATAAGAGACACTTAAAATCTGTCTATTTTGGCTGCTAGTCATTTGATGCGTTAAGGTTCTTGATATTTGCGTCTGCATTCTGGACATTAGCCGCTTAAGATAAACTCTCCCCCTGGCCCCCAGGCCCCAGCCCGGCCGCCCTGTCTGCCCTGCCACCTCATACCCTCTAGCCTCCACTTCCCTGACCACCTGTCACCTGGCACCTCTCAGGTGCTCAGGCACAGCTGCTTCACCTGCCCCAGGGCCTCTGCACATGGGTCACCCTCCTTGAACACATCTCCTCCAAACGCTTTATCTCACGAATGCCACTCTGCTTTCAAGTCTGAATCTACGTATCGCCTTTCCTTCTAAATTCAATCTACATGACACAGTCTAATTCTGTACTGTGGCTCACAGTCAGCAATGCTTTCATTAGGACAGTACAGTTTTCCACAACATGGGGTCATGTGCAGTATCCGCATCCTCAGCTGGTTTATAAACCCCATGGCCCTGGGCCGAGGCTGTTGTTTCCCCATTGACTGGCACAGGGCCTGACCTACACGTATAAATACTCGCCATCAAGGAGCTCAGCCACCTGACCGTAATCAATTTACATGTATGCACATAGCAAAGCATGTATTTCCCACCACTACTGTCCCTCTCCTCTCCTTCCTTCTATGAGCACAGAAACATCTGCAGGCTCCTTACAAGCACTCGGAGTCTTACTGTAACTTGTGTTCCAGTTTCACTGAAAATGTCTTGATTTTTACACCTCAAGCAGAGACTGTGCATCGGCCTTTATTCCGCCTATAAACTTATCAACTTTTTTCTTTCAGCTTCTGAATAACTTCTTCAAGGGCCCATTGCCAGAAGAATTTATGGTTCTGTTCAGAAACTGGGCCAAGGACTCCAATCCCGCAGTGTGCAAACTCAGCCTTCGGAAAATCGCCAGCATGGCCCCGGTCATCAACAAGGTGCGCGTGCGGTCTGTGTCTGCGCCACCAGGAGTGGGAGTCTGAGATCTGATACCACGCCGTGTCCTCACTGGTAAAACACGGATGTTTCAGTGTCTGTGAAGCTGAGACACCATCAAAGGAGGATGCATTTAGTCAATTCAGTGGTGTTTACCCCTTACTTGTGCTTTTCCCAGAAAAGTGCCCCAGCACTTCCCAGCACTTTCCCAGACTTCCCAGCAGTGCCCTTCATGAGATCCTCCTTACAGGCTCAGCCCCACAGAGACCTGGAAATTTCCCTCCAACATGCACAGGTGCATGCACGCCAATGCCTGTCTCAGAGCCCCCAGGCTTTGACCCCGCTGGTCACCTCCAGGCAAACGTCACTGATTCTGACCTCTGGCCGTCTCTTCCATCTCAGAACCACAACAGCCAGGGAGGCTGCTTACCCACGTCTTGTGTGGATGGTTCTCCGCACTGAGCCTACCAGTGGGAACCGTTTTGCATTTAGAATGAAATGAGCCGTGGTCTGTTTGCTCTGTCCATTCTTTTTGCAAATGGAAAGTTACCTGTTGCCTCGTCTAATGACCTTCCCAATGTTATTAACAACTGAAAGGGGGCTTCCATGCCAAGGTCAGTCCATGAGAATGAAAGGGAAATGGAGCGCCTCTGCAGTGAGGTCTCATGCACCACCTGCTAGTGAAGGCGACTTTCCAGCCAGACACGAGGGGCCTCTGGGGGTTACTGGCAAACAGTGTTTATTTCTTCACCCTTTTCTTTGCACCCTTTCCTTCTCTTCTTTGGTGCCTGCTTTTCATAAGCATTTTCCATTGCCTTACATGTTTCGTTGCCTTACAATTGATGCAGATCACCTGGCTTAGCGGCTCAGAGGCTTTTATATACAAATAGGTCACTGTAGGTTAGCCCAGGGGTCACACTACCGGTGGTGTGTTGGTAAATGTTTTACCCATTAGGTCTCTGAAAATAAGACCAACTTCTCCGGTGAAAATACCGCCACCACGGCTGGTTCCAAGCTATCAAAGGGACACCCTTGCACGTGGTGGGGGAGAGATGCACAGTACACACCAGTATTTATATTCCCACCATTCGACACAACAGTGTGAATAACAGCACATGTTTACAAGTGTAAGATGTAAAAAATAAGAAGTGGTAAGTTTTGACTTCTTATTACCATTGTTTCTATGTATCTCTAAGTTTATAAAATTTAATTTTTAATAGTGACTTTTGTTGATAGGTACAAAATTTTTGACAACTTGACAATTAATGACTCTTGTGATTCTGCCCCAGGATCTCTAGCCGCTGCCCAGACCCGCAGGTGGGCCTCCCACAGGCCAACTCAGGGCTCCATCCAGTTCCAAAATCCCACCATTTTCCTCTTCTTCTGTGTAGATCAAAAATGTCTGCAGCTTATTAATATCCATCCTGGATACCTTCCTCTCCGAAGACAAGACGGTTGTAATTCAGGCCTTGTTCACCCTTCGAACACTTTTAGGCAAACTGGACAAGGCAACCTACTTCTCTTTGTGCACCAGGATCGCCTCCAGCTACTGTCCCCTGATGGACCATGTGAGTCACGCAGCTCCATGTGAGATGCTCTAGTTCAGCTGAACCCGGCTGAGGGGTGATGTTACAGCCCCAATCAGTCAACAGAAGACAGTCATTTTGTGGAAAGCCACCATTTCTTGTCCATAATTAACAATATTAGTCAGCTCAGTACTGTCCTCTTTGAACTGCACTGTAAAGACCTGGAAAAGTCTGCCTGTAAGAAAGGACAATCAAAGACAGCCTCTGTGCTCGGATGAAAGAGGAATTGTGGCTGAGTGACTGTCTATTGATTGCCCTGCATCTGGGCTGCCTGGGTTCAAATCCCCGTCTGCCTCCTACGAGCTGTGAAATCCGATTGTCTCCCCACCTGTACAGCAGAGAGGAGCTTCCCCTGGGGATTAGAGGCCATGTGTCATGCCCCAAATGCGTATTGTTATCCCACAAAGCTGTATGTAAAAAGCATCTCATCAGAAAGTTGTGCATTATGAAAATTCTGATCTTGTATGGCAAACACGTTCTAGAAAAACTGGATGGTAGTCATGTATTTTCATAAGCAAGAACATCTTGGTATGTCATGGGGAATCTACTTAAAAGATTCTCTGATGAGTTGTTTGTGAACCAGAGAATTATTTTATAGAATTATTTTGGCAAATTCTACATTTTCCTAATTATTAAGATTCCATTGAAGAGGGCACAGTATTATTGAATCATAGAAAGACACAATTCAGTGGAAACAATTATTCTCTTAAGGACATAATGATAAAAATAATGATAATAACAGTGGCTAAAATTTGTTGAGCATTTGCTATGCACCAGGCACTATCAAAATATTTACATGTGCTGTTCCATATAATTTTCTAAATAACTCTATTGCTATTATCCAGTTTATATCTAAGAAAACTGAGGTAAAAGGAAGTAAGCATTTGGCCAACTTGACACAGCTTAATAGTTGAAAGGTACATGTGAAAAAGTACTTTCAAAATGAAATCATTAGGAAAAACAAAATGAAACAAAGCTAAACGAATCAAACCAAACCATATGAAAAGAAGGGAAGCCAGAGAGAGAAGAAACTTGGCCAAGTCCCCCTAAGTCATTCTCTGGAGACAGAGAAAAATATCAGGATACTAATGAACTTACGTTACCATGTTCCTCCAAATCACAAGAAAACACAAAAACTCCCACAAACTTACTCAACCTTTGGGGGACAAAACTGTAATTTCAACAGTGTGGAGTCCCAGTTTACGTAACCATGCAGTGGTTAGCATGCCTGCCTCCAACACTTTCAGACTGGGAGAGTGCTCACAAAATCCTACATGCGAGGGAAACTCAGAAGGTCTGGGAATACTGGAGCCCACACACCCACAAGGCAGCAGTGTGGGGAGGGGGCTGCCCTCCCTGAGAGAGGCCAGGCACCCCTTTATCCAGGCCCTGTCCTCTCCCCGCTTCTCTCATCTCCTCACCTGTCCAGCCCGTGATATATGATGATCACCACCACGCTGATCCCCCAACCACCCCTGGGAAGGAATATATGAAGCCATATTAGCCATTCGTATTTTGTTGGGAATCTATCCATACATTCCTGAGAACAGAAAGGAAAAAAAAATTTTAATTGAAATCAGAAACGTTTCTTAAAAACTGCAAAGTGATGTTATATTTTAAAAAGTTAACCTGTTCCTGTGACCTACAGTTTTTCTCTCGCAGTCCTTGTAATCCGGTTGCCTTCCTCTTTGTCCTGAGAAGCCTCTGTACCCCCTGAGCTCTGCAAGCACTGCAGCGTGTGAACACAGCGGTTCACCTTACTTCAGGGTCTTCACAGGAGTTACCCCCAAGTTATATAAATGATTCCAGTTTATATTTTAGGATGTTAAATACTGTCTTCTTAGATTTAAGAAGCTTTCACAAAGGATTTTTTTAAAGCAATCTGAATTTTGGTAAACAAATCTAAGAAGAGCTGATTACTTAGACTCAAGGGTGTATATTTTCTGAAAATAAGTGATAATAATTTCATTTACATGTATAAGTGTGCATATACAGATAATATATATACACATAGGGAGTATAACTATATACATGTGTTTAAACACCTATGTAAAAATGTGAGCATACATATGAAACATGCTTAGAGTAATGTCCTGGAGTGACGCTGTATCTGTGTGCACGTCCCAGGACAGCAGCAGCATTCGGAGCATGGCTGTCCAGCAGCTGGGCGAGCTGGTCAGGGACATGAGTCAGCACAAGTCGATGCTTAGGCACGTGGTCCTCAGAGGTCTCGTGCCTCTGATCCTGTTTTTAGAAGATACAGAGACAAGAGTGGTCAGAGTAAGTCCTGGAATCTTGTTTTCTTCGGTCTGCCTAGAATCAGTGTTTTTGTACCGCCAGATAACAAACCGTCACTGACCTTTTCCTGCTTCACAGGCGTGTAAATTTACATTAGAAATCTGTGCCTCAGAATTAAACTGGTCAATGCCACATTTGTTCAAAGACAAACAGTACAGTTTTGACCTAGTGGTCCTGGACATCTGCAAAAACGTGGTGAGTGCCCACGCGGTTACTGCCCTGGGAACCTGGGAGGACACCCAACGTGGTGATGGTGAGGTGGGGATGGAGGGAATCACACGAGAGGTCACAGCCGGGGTTTGGGACCGGAGCAGACTTACGTTCCCAGTGCCTGTCCCTCGCCATTCACCTAGTTTTCTTCTTCCGACCCACCTACTCTGAGCCACAGACAGTATAGAGGGAGAAACGGCCTTCAAGAGCACCAAATAACCTGAAATTGTTTTACCTTCCCCTAATGAGCTGGTCCTCTCAAGTTTGAGCTGCAGGAGTAGACGCTGGGGAGGGAGAGCGCCAGTCAAGGGTGGGAACACAGTGGGGCTGGGGAGTCCACCCTGTGGGCAGAAAAGCCAAGTTCACACACAGAAGCTCTCCGCTTGTGCACCTGCCCCAGTTTATAAGCAACCAGCTGCTTTTCTCCAAAAGCCTCTCCAGAGGGGGCAAATGTGCTTTTTCAACAACTGGCTTCTCTCCCTTGTTATTCTCAGCTTATTTCCCATGGGAGCTGCATTATGGATTTGATACATGACATCTTAGGGTTCCTGAGGAGCTCCCAGCCATATCTGAAGAGAGCATCAATTATCACCTGTACAGCAGAGAGGAGCTTCCCCTGGGGATTAGAGGCCATGTGTCATGCCCCAAATGCGTATTGTTATCCCACAAAGCTGTATGTAAAAAGCATCTCATCAGAAAGTTGTGCATTATGAAAATTCTGATCTTGTATGGCAAACACGTTCTAGAAAAACTGGATGGTAGTCATGTATTTTCATAAGCAAGAACATCTTGGTATGTCATGGGGAATCTACTTAAAAGATTCTCTGATGAGTTGTTTGTGAACCAGAGAATTATTTTATAGAATTATTTTGGCAAATTCTACATTTTCCTAATTATTAAGATTCCATTGAAGAGGGCACAGTATTATTGAATCATAGAAAGACACAATTCAGTGGAAACAATTATTCTCTTAAGGACATAATGATAAAAATAATGATAATAACAGTGGCTAAAATTTGTTGAGCATTTGCTATGCACCAGGCACTATCAAAATATTTACATGTGCTGTTCCATATAATTTTCTAAATAACTCTATTGCTATTATCCAGTTTATATCTAAGAAAACTGAGGTAAAAGGAAGTAAGCATTTGGCCAACTTGACACAGCTTAATAGTTGAAAGGTACATGTGAAAAAGTACTTTCAAAATGAAATCATTAGGAAAAACAAAATGAAACAAAGCTAAACGAATCAAACCAAACCATATGAAAAGAAGGGAAGCCAGAGAGAGAAGAAACTTGGCCAAGTCCCCCTAAGTCATTCTCTGGAGACAGAGAAAAATATCAGGATACTAATGAACTTACGTTACCATGTTCCTCCAAATCACAAGAAAACACAAAAACTCCCACAAACTTACTCAACCTTTGGGGGACAAAACTGTAATTTCAACAGTGTGGAGTCCCAGTTTACGTAACCATGCAGTGGTTAGCATGCCTGCCTCCAACACTTTCAGACTGGGAGAGTGCTCACAAAATCCTACATGCGAGGGAAACTCAGAAGGTCTGGGAATACTGGAGCCCACACACCCACAAGGCAGCAGTGTGGGGAGGGGGCTGCCCTCCCTGAGAGAGGCCAGGCACCCCTTTATCCAGGCCCTGTCCTCTCCCCGCTTCTCTCATCTCCTCACCTGTCCAGCCCGTGATATATGATGATCACCACCACGCTGATCCCCCAACCACCCCTGGGAAGGAATATATGAAGCCATATTAGCCATTCGTATTTTGTTGGGAATCTATCCATACATTCCTGAGAACAGAAAGGAAAAAAAAATTTTAATTGAAATCAGAAACGTTTCTTAAAAACTGCAAAGTGATGTTATATTTTAAAAAGTTAACCTGTTCCTGTGACCTACAGTTTTTCTCTCGCAGTCCTTGTAATCCGGTTGCCTTCCTCTTTGTCCTGAGAAGCCTCTGTACCCCCTGAGCTCTGCAAGCACTGCAGCGTGTGAACACAGCGGTTCACCTTACTTCAGGGTCTTCACAGGAGTTACCCCCAAGTTATATAAATGATTCCAGTTTATATTTTAGGATGTTAAATACTGTCTTCTTAGATTTAAGAAGCTTTCACAAAGGATTTTTTTAAAGCAATCTGAATTTTGGTAAACAAATCTAAGAAGAGCTGATTACTTAGACTCAAGGGTGTATATTTTCTGAAAATAAGTGATAATAATTTCATTTACATGTATAAGTGTGCATATACAGATAATATATATACACATAGGGAGTATAACTATATACATGTGTTTAAACACCTATGTAAAAATGTGAGCATACATATGAAACATGCTTAGAGTAATGTCCTGGAGTGACGCTGTATCTGTGTGCACGTCCCAGGACAGCAGCAGCATTCGGAGCATGGCTGTCCAGCAGCTGGGCGAGCTGGTCAGGGACATGAGTCAGCACAAGTCGATGCTTAGGCACGTGGTCCTCAGAGGTCTCGTGCCTCTGATCCTGTTTTTAGAAGATACAGAGACAAGAGTGGTCAGAGTAAGTCCTGGAATCTTGTTTTCTTCGGTCTGCCTAGAATCAGTGTTTTTGTACCGCCAGATAACAAACCGTCACTGACCTTTTCCTGCTTCACAGGCGTGTAAATTTACATTAGAAATCTGTGCCTCAGAATTAAACTGGTCAATGCCACATTTGTTCAAAGACAAACAGTACAGTTTTGACCTAGTGGTCCTGGACATCTGCAAAAACGTGGTGAGTGCCCACGCGGTTACTGCCCTGGGAACCTGGGAGGACACCCAACGTGGTGATGGTGAGGTGGGGATGGAGGGAATCACACGAGAGGTCACAGCCGGGGTTTGGGACCGGAGCAGACTTACGTTCCCAGTGCCTGTCCCTCGCCATTCACCTAGTTTTCTTCTTCCGACCCACCTACTCTGAGCCACAGACAGTATAGAGGGAGAAACGGCCTTCAAGAGCACCAAATAACCTGAAATTGTTTTACCTTCCCCTAATGAGCTGGTCCTCTCAAGTTTGAGCTGCAGGAGTAGACGCTGGGGAGGGAGAGCGCCAGTCAAGGGTGGGAACACAGTGGGGCTGGGGAGTCCACCCTGTGGGCAGAAAAGCCAAGTTCACACACAGAAGCTCTCCGCTTGTGCACCTGCCCCAGTTTATAAGCAACCAGCTGCTTTTCTCCAAAAGCCTCTCCAGAGGGGGCAAATGTGCTTTTTCAACAACTGGCTTCTCTCCCTTGTTATTCTCAGCTTATTTCCCATGGGAGCTGCATTATGGATTTGATACATGACATCTTAGGGTTCCTGAGGAGCTCCCAGCCATATCTGAAGAGAGCATCAATTATTTTAATAGGTAAATAAAATTCCATTCTGATCGCGTCATTTGCCTTAAGAGGTACAGAATGGAGTAGCAGCTGGAAGTCTTTGAAAACATCATAAATTACCTTAGTTTATGATGGACAGCACTGCATGGTGGAATCTGTGATGAACAGAAGTTTATATGTGTAATGAGAACAGAGTTGTCTTTTGTAAAGCACAGTGAGCACAGCTGTGTGATTAATTATAATACGACGTGTATGCAACAGGATAAAATTCACAGTTTCAGCCCCTTCATGGCACAAAGACCACTTCCCAAAGAGTAAGAAGAACAAACCGCACCAACAGCGTCACCACCACACGCGGATGCCTGCGATCACGGCAATGACACCTAGAGAAGAGCTGCCAAAGCCTGCGAGGTCCTGGGAGGTTGGGGGGTGCTGCAGGAAGCTTCTCTAAGGTGACTGCTGCTTCTGTCCTGGACAGAGCTGACCGAGCAGGCTTTCTCCACTAGACTGTCACCATCGTGATCAGTTAGTAATCCTTTATTAGGAGTGACAGGAATCGAGCTCCCAACCTGGTAGTGGGATCTCCCCGAGGCCCTATTTGGTGTCCTGGCATAGCAGGGGTGCCAAGGACCAAGAGGAGACAGCCACGTCACTGGAGAGAGGAGTCGGTCAGGGCAGAAGACAAACTGAATTGTAATCAGTGCTGAGCTCATGATCTGTGTGATCAGAGAGGAATCAATACACACGCAAGCTCAGAAAACCCGGTGTCATAGAAATTTCAAACCAGAACAAATTCCTGCTATCCTGGATTCTACCTGGAACTTTCTACCAATAGCTGTCTGTGTGTAATGTTGCAAGATCCAAAAGTAAGTAACTAAAAAATGAAATGGCATTATGTTTCTACAGAGGTATAGTCCCAGGGGGAAAGGACAGGAAAGAAGAAAATCAAATTTTAGAAAATGTGTCTACAGAACAATTGAAAATCATGATAAATATTTCTGCGAATCCAAACTTTTGGAAATAAAGACCTAAAGTGTAGATACAGGCACATGAAAATTAAGTTCTCAAAGGTGGAGAGAAAAATGTAAGAATAAAGTTTACAACCATTACAAACAATCACATTGCACCCAGCAGAAGAGAAAAGAGAGATTGCTAATAAACCAGTAAGGGATGGGGGAGTGCAGGGTTGAGAAATGAGAGCAAAATAAAATGAAAGCCAGCAAGAAACAGATTGCTGTTTCACACACACAGATATAGGAAATACATATATGGCATATTCTATGTATGGACAGAGAACTTTGGAGTTAAATTCTTTGAGCATTTAGGCAAAAAAGAAATTCACCTATAACTTACAAAATAAATAAATTTGTCATTAGATTTCTCCACTTTATATGCAACTCTAAAATATAGTAGAATAGTACCTACAGAACCCTAAGTAGAAAGAAAGTTGTGACTGAGGAATTTTATATTCAGCAAAATTATATCCAACTATAGAGAATTGTTGTATTTATTACACACAACTGTAAAGATCTATTATAAAGGTATAGAATTTTAGATAATCTGTACTCACCTAAGGAGAGACAAACACATCTAAGACACAGAATACAAAGCCTGCAGACAGACAGATCCACACATGTACAGACACCTGACATGTAAATCAGAACTGGCAGCATTATGAGGTCAGAAATGATGGGCTATCCAATAAAAACTCCAGGACACCTGGGAACACATACACACACATACACACAGGAATTCCTACCTGACACGCTACACAAAAATTAACTCTAGGTGTATCAAGCCATGTAAATGCAAAGCATAAATTTTTAAAAAGTTTAAAAGAAAATGTAGTATATTTTCATAACCAAAAGTAAGCAGAATTTTTCTGAAGACAAAAAAAAAGCATGAAAGTAAAGCAACAATCTGGGAGAAAATATTTTCAAAACACATAACAAAACCATACAAATATCCAGAATGTATTAGGTGTAATAACCTAATTTAAAAAACCACAAAAATCCAACAGAACAAAAAATGAGAAATACAAACAAAATAAACAAAAATAAAAACCACCAAGAGAAATTTTGCAGATGGGAACACATGAATGCAGATAACTGTGAGAGAAGAAAAGATCCCTTTTACAAAGGTGATAAGTAAAGAAGGGAGGAAAAGGGGAAGGGAGGGAGAGGAGGGGGGCGGAGGGTGTACAGACAGACATAAGAAAGGGAGACTGAAAAGAAACTTCAAAATGTGCACAGCGTTTCCATGAAGAAAACTTGCAAACATCACTGAAAGATACAAAGACTTGAATAAATAGAAAGATATAACCCATGTTTTAGGAAAGAAAGAATCAAAATTTTGAATGTATCAATTCTTTCCTAAATGAATCCATACAAGTAATGAGATGCCAATTAAAATATGAATAAGGTTTTTTTCCCCAAAAATTGAATGTTGATTCTAAAAATAATGTGAGAGTTATCATGTGAGAAAATCCTAACCAAAAAAACAAAAGTGAGTAGCCCTGTTGGATATTAATTGGCTACAGGAATGAAAATCACTTAGAACAAAATACTGCTCAGAAATAAACACCAAAACATGTAGTATTTTTAAGTGAATCATTGTTGGCTTTCAGTAACAGTGATGAAGATAAAGAATATTCCTCAAATGGTTCAGGGACGCCTGGCGAGCCATCTGGAATTTTAAAAATTGTTTTTATTCCTGTCTCATTCCTTACACAAAATAAATTCCAGACAGGCAGAGGCTTGAATGATAAAAATGAAACCATAATAACAAATAAAATTAAATAAAATCATACAGAACAACTTGCTTTACAGTCATGGGATGGGTAAGATCTTTCTAAGTAAAAGTCAAAATGTAGGAACCATAAAGAAAAGTTTGATCAACTACGTAGACAATAAACATTTCTGCAAGGCAAAACCACTATACACAGAGCCAAAAGCCAAATTGGGACAAAATATTTACAGCACTTCACGTCTGAAGGGTGAATTCCTACCGTCCGAAACATCCTTAGAAGTCCATGCAAATGGACAGACAAGCCACTGGCAAAATGGACAAGCAACGTGAAAAAAAAAAACATTATTTGGCTCATAAACATAAAAATTTCACCACTTCAAAACGCGAGGCAAATGACAAGGATGACATGTTTTTGGCAGACCCAAGCGTTTCTAGGGCCCAGCTTTGCCCAGGTTGCGGGAAGGAGGCCATCGTGTTCCTGGCGGTGAGAGTGTGCATGGCTACAAACCGCGACATGAGCAGCCTGGTCGGACCCGTCCCAGTGTGAGATGCACACTCTTTCGGCCCAGCGGTCTCCTCTCCAGACAACTCACCCTCTGACAGTCACAGGTGAGAGAGGTGTGCTACACAGATGTTCCCTGCGTCACCCTGCCTTCGCCTGTGGCTTTTATCCCCATGTGTGTTTACTGGTCACCTTCTGATTTCAACAGTATTACACCAAGAAGACAATGTTAAAGGCAAAAAGCTGTGTCTGGGCCTCCCGATTTTAAGGCTTTCTTCCAACTGCCAGCCAGTTCACCTTGTACCTGCAAGGACCAGGGCTGCCCGGCACCACCACTAGTTGCCAGACATGCTTCAATTATGGTTTTTCGGATGGGCAAGCAGGGGATGATGACATTGGATTGGCAGTTGGAGTCACAACTGCCAACCCTTAAAATTTGGGAGTTTTCACATAAGCATCTGGATTTCCAATTATTTCGGGAGGGAAAGGGGGAGAGAAGGCTGCCCTGAGCCTGCGTTCCTGCACAACCATCACCCTTTGCGATGGATTGCACTTTCTGCCCACTGCGGCCCCACCACCTACTGCTCTTCCACACAGCAGACATCACACCCATGCAAGCCCTGCTGGCATTGTGCTTAATTTACCATGTTTTACAGTTGATCAAATTCTGCTTGAATTCATTTGTGACTCATAAGCCCTGGTGCAGCCACGTGGGAAGTGTGCGGTGATGATTAAAGTGAGCATAAGTGTATCCCTTGCGAGCTGGACACCAAACAGCCATGCACACAGATGGAGGCCACAGCTCATGGAGAGAATGCCCATAATAACACCGCCTTTCACAACAGCCCCAAACTGGAACCACATAGCCCACCACCACCGAACAGACCAGCCGTGCTGCATCCCCAGACGGACCCTCACATAGCAGAGGTCAGCGAACTCTGTAAAGTGCCAGACAGTAAATATCTGGGGCTACTGCCCTCTGGTCTCTGCAGCTACTCAGCTCTGCTCTGTAGGGCGAAGATAGTCGTAGATGATTCGTCAACGGGCGAGCCGCTGAGCACTGCTGTGTTTCTAGTAAACTCTATTTGCCAATTCCTCCAAGTGGAAACAAGTGAACTAACAGGGATGAAGAATGTCCTGGGAGGGTGGAGGAGGTGCGGAAGGGTGTGGAGCCTGCTCCGGACTCAAGTGTCATCAAGAGATGCTTTTCTGTGAAGACATCCGTGAGGGCAGCCCAGTGATATGAGAGAGTGCATTTCCACACGTGTTTGGGGGTAACCTTAATCTCACTCTGTCCTCAGGGTACTTGACAAAACTGGGTGGCCACTTGCTGCTCAAAGATGAAGTCAAGATTATTCTGGACGGTGAGTATGAAGTTGTAATGACTCCTTTATGCAGAGGTGTCGGCAACCCAGTTCACACACGAGTTCCACAGCGGTGCCGAGCCCGGAAGTCAACCCAGAGCCCGTGAAGGGCTGGTGGCGGACGGGGCACCTCCTCCTGTCTCTTCTCCTGCCTCCCTGTCTCTCTCCTTTTCCAGTCTCTCCATCTAACACCTGTCATATCCCAGCCCCCTTAAGAATTGCAGAGCTGGGGATTCATTCATTCATCCAGCCAACAAATGGTCTCCAGCCCTGCCATGTGAGGGGGCGTCCTAACTGCAGGGTGTGCAGAGCCCACAGGGCAGCTCCTTCAGGCAGAGGCCACGCACACTCACACCAGGGGGAATTAGGGGACCCCAACAGGGTCAGAATGACACACAGGTGAGGGAGACAAGAGGGCAGCTGCCCGCCTTCCTTTTCTTGGTAATATTCTTTTAGAGTTTTAGGTTCACAGCAAAACTGAGGGTCCAGTGCAAAGATTCCCCGGGTGCCCC